CCCCAGCGGGTCTCAAACCAAGTGCTAAGAGAATGCATGCACCAGCTCAGAGCATCCTGCCTGGCAGCGCAACGCCACACTCACTGGCTTGGCCATGTCCACCGTCTTTCTATTGACCATCCGACCAGAGCCATTCTGCAGTTTGACCCGAGGGTCGCAGGCTGGAGATGACCACGAGGGAAACCCTTCTTTATTGGTGCCATCAGCTGGTCCTGGAATTCCTCACCTTGATCATGATGAATACGCTCGGGGAATCCAAATCGTTATGCACAGTCATTGAAAAGTTTATCGGCCACAGTCGTTGCTGACTCGGATGTCGTCACATAAGCTTGGGCGAATCTGGAGAAGTGATCGATCCCAACCAATACGTACTCGTTTTGTGGGAGTGGGATAGTGGGGTTGCTAAGGTTCTGCACACAAACCTATAATATAATGAAACAGCACTGCACAGTGCACGTCTAATACATACATAAACACACACACATTTCTATGTCACTGCTGCTGCCTTCATTAAATCTAATAAAATCTATAGTCTCTATAGTCTGGTGACTAGTGTCTAGTTTAGCTACTTTTAGATTAACTGGAGTAATATAGTACAACTCTGCTTCAACTGGTGACTTTTCTACTTCATTGTCAGCCAGACAAAATGTTGCTGCAGAGAAACGCCCAAGGTACTGACCCCACCATAAGAAAATCATGATGTCCACATTTATTTCACACAATCTCAAACATCACATTAAAATTAAACGCTTAGCTCTGATTTACTTATTTCTTTATTGATATCAGTTTTCCCATTGTTGTAGATAATCCTCGGGTGTGGCCACCTGCATAACGGAGCACCCTGGTTCTGAGCCAGTTGCACCTTTGTGCAGCTCTTTGGGGAGACTATGCTCAGCAGGTTAAACATCTTTAAACTTATTAACATAAACTGCAATAATATGTAATTCCAGTAATGAATGAGTTAAGATGAGACTTAAAGGGGCAGGTCAAGCCTGCCTCAGAGTCCTTCTCCACCCACGTTTCAATTTTAAAAACTGCAACATTAGTAGGCGTTGCCTGCCGGGCCAAGAGGGCGGAGTCACGGCAGTGACGAAGGTGGGTGGGTAACGAGACGAAGCTAGCTCTCTTCACTCTGAGCAGTCATTAGAAGTGGAGGATGTTTCTCCCCCTCCTTACCCAGACAATCGAGAAGAACAGAACCAAGTCTGTTTGGAGGAGACAAGCGGACCTGAGCCTTATTGTTTTGAGCTTGTGAGTTGCCTGAAACCATCGGAGCCGACCCAACAGAACCAGCTCTGAATGGTAAGTAGCCATTAGCCAAAGCATTAGATTAGCTGCAGGGTTTGGCTCCACGGCCCTAGAGAGCTAGTGTTCAGCATGTTTTAGAGATTTATCTGCTTCAACACACCTGGTTTTAATCAGCAACAACTAGCTGAGCTGCTTAACAGCTAATCTAACCTGTTAATGCAGGAAAACCACTGAAACGTGTCGATAGCAGCTCTCTAGGACGCGGCCACCTACCCTGGGCTAAAGTTACTGTCTGCTGCAGAGAAAGTTATAGAACAACCCCATGAGAAAATTCTGTATTGTGTTCATTTATGTTACACAATCACAAACATCCACCTAAAACTGCCCTGATTTCATTATTTACTGATACCAGCTTTCTCTTGGTCGTAGGTGATCCTCTGGTGTCTGCAGCTGGGTCTCCTCTTGTGGTGTCGTCAGGATGAGGAGCTCCCAGAAGAATGTGCCTTTGAATGATTCCTTTCCCCTCTAAACAGTTATTTGTCATATTAATTAAATAAATCTCAATTTATATATTTCTAGTTTTTGTTCATGTCCATAAATATTTAAACACACTTGAGTTTAAAACGAGCTTTTAACAATGAGGTGCTAGTTTAATTTGTCACATTAGAGCTAGTTAAACATGCAACAATGTGATAATTCAATTGATGCAATTTATAAATATCCATTAAAATACAAAAACTGGAATTAAAATGAGACATTTGGCTACACAAAGAACTTGTCAAAGGCAATATTTAATATAATAAACATCAGTGTTGTCTGATTCTAATGTTGCTACTGCTGATCTGAGGTTTAATTAGTCATTTGATTCTAAGTATAGTGAACTAACCGGGACCCAGTCTACCAGTCTGAAATTTAGTCTTTCTGCTGCAAAGGTTTTTGCTAATTTAACTAAACTTTTGAAAGTTTTATATCATATGTTTTGGAGACACTAACCTGCTGGTAGCTTGACACAGCCCCATTTCAGTCTTCTGCAGCCTGATCAGGATCTTATGTGTGATCTAGCAGATGACGCCAGAGTCAGTCAGGATTTACCAGGTTTACAGCTCATCTGGGAAGGTTTCAGTAAGTCTTCTCAATATTCAATAAACCAGCAAACTGATTAACACTTTGTGTGGGTAGAAAAGCAGGCCGCCCACCGCTGTTAATACAGACAGTCGTTGGAATGCAGCATTAGTCTAAATCCATGGAGGATGCTGTTCCACTGACTGCTACACCAAATGTTTGATAAAAGGCTGCAAATTAGCCGCATCAGTCACACGTGAACGGAAACACGTTTAGAGGAGGGCCTCATCATGTTTTATTCAGTTACAGAGAGATGCTCAATTAATCAGTTTCTGCAATGAAATTAAACGGGCTCATGCATCAAACATGAAAGGAATATCAGGGGCTTTGAATGCTGTTGACCCATAAAACTCAATTTATTATCAGGCTTGTGTGGTGGGTTGGGGTTGAACTCAGTGAAGGGAAGATGTTCACGTGCATCTCAGCATGTGGTGTTTCCATCAGCGGTGCATCTGTGAATGTCAGAAGCTGTGTGTTTGACCAGCCAGCAGCTCTCCTCCCAGTCAGTCCTTACCTGCTCACCAGTTTCATCTTCGAGCTGAAGCTTTGGAGAATCCCTGAATCGTTTTTATTTCATATCAGTCTGTGTTGCCTCAGCTCCACATCTTGAGTTGTTTAGATGTTTGTTCAGGAGATGGGTGTAATGGGTTACCGGTTCAACCCCCCGCCACATCCCCTTCAGTCACCGTGTTCTTGGGGAAGACACCTCACCCTTCTTCCCCGCTGGTGGAGTCCATTTGGGGCTGATACTTGGCAAAAGCTGAACATTGTCATGCCAAATGCTGGGAATTTGGCTGACATCCCCTGACCTCCATCAGAGTGCCCAAGGGCAGCTGTGGCTATTATAGTCATCACTACAAGTGTGTGTGTACTTGTCTATACATCAAAGTGAGGACCAATGACGAGCTTTGTTCCTGTAAAGGGAGGGCATTTTGCTGCACCTCACTTTAGTGCAACGTTACAGAACACTACTCAATAGTTTTGAAGGTATGGTGTGAATTAAGTTTTAGTTAAGGTTGGAGTTAGAAGAGACAAGTTAAAGTTAGGAGTAGACAGGTTAGAGTTAAGGAATGGAAGTCAATGATGGTCCTCAACAAATGCTAGACGAGAGAGAGTGAGAGAGCGAGAGAGAGAGAGAGAGAGAGAGAGAGAGAGAGAGAGAGAGAGAGAGAGAGAGAGAGAGAGAGAGAGAGAGAGAGAGATGTTGGGTTTTGTGGTGAACAAATGGCTGAATGTCCCTGATTTCGGTTTTTTTGTCTGGACGACTCAGAGGGACGGGTTCTCTTCTTGCCTTTCTCCCTCCTGGTCAGTACTTGTTTATGGACAACATCGTGTCAGACGAGTGGCTGCTGTCCCTGGTGCTTCAGGTTGTTTTCTCTGAGTCAGATTCATACAACACATGAAACCAGAACTAATCCACCATGTTGGATTAGTTCCATCCCTCTGAAGGTCTGCCACTCTACAGGTTGGCAGTTCATTTTTAGCTTGTGTGGGTTAAAACCCAGGAACTGTAATGTTTTCACACCACGATAGAACGTGAGGGAGTAGCTAACGTAGAGCTCAGACAGCAGATGATTTTACATCAGTTTGGACATGTTTGACATGAAGACGCAGCTTTGCTCATTTACACCTCAACCTCCCAAGACCCTAAAGAGGACGTAGGTTTTTGCAGTGTGATACTTTATTCTGGCCAGCTCAGACCTTGTTCTGACATTTAGGGGGATTAAATTATTTTCTTTAAAAAAAATGTTTGTTTTTTTTAAGTAACGCGTTGCTGGCATCGCTGTAGCTAATAATCCGCTGTTGAGTACAAAATGTCATTCCGTTTTGCAGTTAACTGTAGTTCAGCACAAATTTTACAATAGCATGAAATGAACTTGTGTTTGTTATACAGCTGCTTACAGCTTCCGGTGCGCGGACCTATAAACATCAGAAGAATCTCCTGCAGACAGCTGCTGCACCATCTTGTTTCCAGAATCAGAGCAAATTTTAACAGAGAATTTGTGGTTTTCAGGAGGTTTATTTTATTATGGCAAGATCGGAGAAGAGGCACTTCGGTCAGATTGCCCCACGATGTAAAGTTTTTGTCAGGCAATATTTAAACTTAAGACAAAAAATATGTGTCCGCAAATATTGTTCAACAGTGCCACTGAACAGGCTTGATAATTTCATTTAACCTGATCTTTCAGTGGGTCAAGCGTGAAAGCAGAACACACGTTCAACAGATTCCAGTTAGAAAAGAACTGCTGTGGCCATGTTGGATGGTAAACACATTTTAGTTCTGTAATAATAGTTCATTTCTAATTAATTTTTATTAATATTCTTTAAGTATTCTGGTTTATAAATATTTAAGTATATGTAGCTTATTTGCTATCTATCTATCTATCTATCTATCTATCTATCTATCTATCTATCTATCTATCTATCTATCTATCTATCTATCTATCTATCTATCTATCTATCTATCTATCTATCTATCTATCTGTCTGGCTGTCTGGCTGTCTGGCTGTCTGTCTGTCTGTCTGTCTGTCTGTCCGTCCGCCTCTGCTCAGGTCTGGAGTTCTACTTTTTTTCGTCCTGGTTTTATTTTGAAAGGTCACCCGGTTGTGCTGCAGTCTCTCTAGGTGAGAGCGCGCTTTAACGTTTGCGTTTGTGTGTGTGCGTGCGCGCGTGCCGGTAGGATCTTGTTGCTTTGTGAGGATGCTGTGAGCCAGTCCGGAGCAGAGGAGCCGAACGGAACCGCAGAGAGGAGAACCGGGACAGGAAGTGGACCTGTGTGATTCCTCACGGAGGATCAGAGCTTAAAGCGGCTCACAGACCGAGGTCCTGCCGCTCACGGTCGCCTCTTCCCCCATCCCTTCGGCTCGCTTCCTGGGGACCCGGACGGGTTCGTGCAGCGCTACACTTGATGCCCGAAAGTTGGGCTGTAATTCTGCAGCAGCTGGGATGTTTTCTATGGAGTTCGGACCCGGTTTAGTTTGGTAGCCTGGGTGGACACCCCTCTCTGGTGCTGGTTCCCGGTACCGGACCGGGCAGACGGACCGTGTGCGCAGGAGACCAGATGAAAGAAGCGTGACAGCATGGAGAAAGGGCTGACCCTGGGTCCGGTTCTGCTGTTCTTTGTTCTCAGAACTTTGGCATATGGTAAGTGTTCTGGTTCTGAATGTTCTCACTAGCTCAGAGTCCGCAGCATCACCTGGTCCAGCAGAGGAGAGGGGGCGTGGCTCGGAGCTACACCTGTCCCAACAGGAAAGCTCCTGTATCAGTGATGAATGCGCTTGTTGGAGGAGAAAAGACCCTGGTGTCTGTGGTGTCTTCTGCCCATGCTTGTGAAGGCTTGATGAAGGTGCTTCTTGAGTGGCTCCGGATGTTCTGCTGTCACTACAAAGGCTGGAATAAGGGTCTTCTTATGGAAAACTCAGCTTCTGCACCATGAAATGCTGCCATGTGGGTCTCTAGTAGCCAATAGGTTTAGACAGACTGTAGCAGCACAGGACTTTGCTCTGCAGGTCGTCTCCATTGTGGTTCGGTAGGTCCACCATTGGCCTGAACAATTTTGGGTCCGGCTAATCACAGCAGTCAACAACTTATACAGGAAGAGTTCTCTATAAACACTCTGATGTGAAGTAAAACCCTCTCCAACCGTTTCCTGTCTGCGTTGGGTTTCAGGAACCATGTGCCTACAATGAGCCTTTTGTGACCTCACAAATTAGGATATTAGGAAAGAACCTACTCTGACCCCACCCCTCTGGGATCAGAGCTTCTCAGCTTGTCATTCCCACCTGAGTGGGGTGTGGGTGTGTTTTCTTAAAGGGACAGAGCCCTGAAATGGCTCCTTTTGGAAGGTACTGAAAATGTCAAGAACAAAACTGCTGAGACGCTTTGTGTGAGAAGGATTTGGTGCAAAGAAGCTCATAACCGTGTTCTTGTCGACCATTAAACTATTACAGCTTTTAAAATTGTCCTAATAGCTGTCCTTTGAAAACCTTTGATACCCATGTTACCTGTGAGTAAGTCTCATTGAGTTACCCACAGCTGGCTGAAACGTCTCAGCACTGTTAGGTAATCTTAGTCGCATGAGCGGGAGGAGCTGCAGATAAAACAGACGAGGCCAATCTCAAACCTGTGATCACAGTCAAAACGCACAAGTCATTTCCTTTAGAGGAGGAAATGGGGGGGGGGGGGGTGGGGGGGGGGGGGTAATGTGGCTGGAATGACACAATTACTCAGATGTCTGATGGAGGTCATTTCTCCTGCTGCTGGTCCTGGGTTTGAGAGCTCGGGTGTCTGCTTTGGCCTTTGATGGACGGGTGCAGCTGCGGCTACATCGTAGGCCGCCAGGCTAAGCGTGGTCCCGGCCCTTCCTCCTCCGCGTACACGGACGACCCCTCCGCTGATACTGATGAGAAACAGTAGCACAGTCAGTCATTCAGTCGTTTACATGCTGGTGGGGATGAGCTACCATGTAGCTACAGCTGCCCTGGGGTGCGCTTACAGAGGCGAGGCTGCCAGGTACAGGCGCCACCGGTCCCTCCGACCAGGGAGTGGGGGTGGGGGGGGGTGGGTGGGGGGGATGGTAAGTGCCACCGTCACCCCAACTCAGCTAGTACCTCAGGTACCACATTGTAACAGTAATTAGTTACCTAGCATGAGGTGATTTTTATGTTCTATGATGCTGTTCCATTCTATAGTATCTATAACGTGATTTTTTTTAACTGAATGGTTTTTATTACGTAGAACAGGGGTGGGCAATTATTTTTTCCATGGGGCCACACGAGAAACAGAAAATTTTGTGGAGGGCCAGGCCAAAAGGCTGAAGTCAATTATGCATAATATTAATGGTATTTCTTTATAAAAAGCAGTAAATACCATTGTTTTTTTCAAGCTGGTAAGAGTAGACTATATGTTATAAATGAGCAACAAGGAAAAAGAGAGGTTGTCTTACAAAAATGTGATTTATTCAAATTTCCCAAGGCAATGGTAAAAGAAATTGTGAGCATTTGGTTTTTGTTAAACATTTGTGACTTATATTAGTTAACAGTTTCAGTCACATTCACTCCAAAACACATTTTGTTTCAAATATTGTTGGAAAGAGGTTCTTAGCATTCTACAGACACACAGTATTGTCTGTAAAATAAAATCACTCAACTGTGATCTTGAGAAAGAGGTTTCAAAAAAAGTGTCCCAGTTCACTGCTAGTTGCCTACATTTTTGGTCCAAACACCTTATTTTGTGTTTTTAAGTGATTTTTTTCTTATTCAGTGACAGAAATCTAGTCTCTGCTGGGCTTTAACGAGTGCATCAAAGTCAGGTTGAATGTCTGAGGTGGAGATGCGAAGCACAGCTGACAAATGATCATCAGTGAGAGAGGATCTATACCTGGATTTTCTAAACTTCATCATTGAAAATGTTTGTTCAGAAATGTAGGTAGAGCCGAAGAGAACCAACATCTTCTGAGCATGTCTCCTCAGGTTTGGAAAGTTCTCTTCCTTAAGAGAAGAGTAAAAATCCAGCAGAGATCCTGACTTAAAGTGCTCTGCCAGTACTGCATCAGACTGCAGGTCAATGAGTTCCAGCTGCACATGACTGGTTGCATTATCCACACTGCAGGTAAAGGGAGAGGAAATCATGTGCATTTCATCCTCGATTGTTCTGAGATCTTCAAAACGCCTTGAAAACTCACCATGTAATGCTCCTAACATGGTAATGTTCATGTTTGTAAAAATGCGTTACGCAGAACAACTTTATCTTGCATGCGTTTCAAAAGTCTGACATTTTTCCCTGTAAGATTTGGACAACTGTCTGTTGTGACACCTGACAGTCTGTTGTGACACCTGACAGTCTCTCCCATTTCAATCCCAGAGTGACCATGCGCACATTTACCTCTGTAAAAAGATCACTCCCTGTCATTGTCCCTTTCATCGACTGCACTGCTGCCAGCTCCTCTGTGAGCTTGAAGCCCGTTATCCACGGACAAATACGAGCAGCTGGGCTGTGTCGCGGACATCACAGCTCTCGTCTAAGGCCAATGAGAAAACGTCAAAACTTGCCACTTCACGTTGCAGCTGAAGCTCCAGGTTCCCTGCAATGTCCTCAATCCTCCTGGTCACGGTTCGCCTGGACAGCGGGATTTGCTCAAATGCGCTTTTTTTCAGGGCATTTTAGTCATAATCTATGAAGTGTAAACCAGCTGTGACGTGGCCGTTTTCGGACGCATCACAGAAGCGACGCACCACTAAAGATAGCATTGGTTTTGTTTTTCTGTGAGGTGCTTCTGTGATACATCAATTACCACAGTTAACATAGGGCCTCACCATGGGTAACCCGTTATCAGCCACCCTTTATGGGATTTTTTGGGGGACCTAGAACAAAAGCCGTAGCCACTGCCCCCCCAAACTGCAAAATAAAATTATGGAAATGCCACGTGGACAACATACTAGAAATCATTCCAAGAGGACAAACAGAGACACTAATGGAACACCTGACCAACATAGATGACACAGACAACATAAAATGTACACATGAAGAAGAAGAAAAGGCAGCATAACCTTCATGGACATGACAAGAACCAGACAGCAAGATGGAACCCTGAACATAAACACACACAGACCAATATTTATTATGGATATCAGAACATCCTATCATACTTAAAATGTCAGTAGTCGGAAGACTTGACCACCGAGCAAACATAATAACAGAAAGTTATGCTGCCTTCTTCTTCTTCATATGTACATTTTATGTTGTTGGTGTCATCGATGTTGTTCAGGTGTTCCGTTAATGTTTCTGTTTGTCCTTCTGGAATGATCTCTAATATGTCGTCTACGTGCCGTTTCCATAAGTCAATTATACTGTCCAGGGGGCAGTGGATATGGCTTTTTGCTCTAGGTTCTCCATGAAAAACACAGAGGATAGCTGAAAACGAGTTGCCCATGGCAAAGCCTTCCTGTTTGTAGATAGTTCCATCAAATTTGAAGTATGTTGAATTTGCTATTAGTTCTGTTAATTGGGCTGTATCATCTGCCGTGAGCTTTATTCTTCTGCGTAGAGTTTTATCCTGTCTGATGCTGTTGAATACTATATGAATAGTTTTTTGGGTTGGTGTTTTAGTGAACAGGGTTGTAACATCGTGTGAGATTAGTGTGTCCTTGTCGTCAATAGTGATCTTTTTTAGTTATTTTGCTAATTCCGTGCTGTTTTTGCAATGTTGGTCTGTGTAACCTAGTAGTGGACTGATGACTTTGCTGATCTCTTTTGCCGTATTGTATGTCGGTGTACCTACGCTGTCTACTATTTACCTCATTTGAGTGTTCTGTTTATGTATCTTTGGGTTTCCATAGCTTCTTGTAATTATGTTTGCTGTTGGAATCCATTGTTTGTACGTTCTTTCTGTTATTTAGCCTTTCTCTAGTAATGGTTTCAGTTATTTTTTCATGTATTTCTTAACGTCTTCCGTCGGGTCTTTTTTCAGTATTTTGTATGTTTTTCGTCCTCGAGCATCTGCTCCACCTGTTGTTTGTACTTTTCTTTGTCCTTTATCACTGTTGTTCTTCCTTTGTCTGGTGGTAGAATGATGATGCGCTCGTGTTTAGCAAGTGATGTAATGGCTGTTTTGTCTTCTTTTGTAACATTACTGTGTTGTATTGTGCTGTTATTTAATGTCCCAGTCATATTATTTCTTAATTCTACTTTTTTTCCTTCATCTGTAATCTGTTGACATGCCATTTCTGTTGCTATAATAAATTCGTTATATGGTAAGTTTTCTGGCTTAATTGCAACGTTTAATCCTGTTTTTTGTATATTTTCTTCTGCTTCTGTTAGTTGGTGATGTGAGGTTACAAACCCAGTAGTTGTGTGTGGTATTGCCTTGTTTTTCTTTTTCTTGTTGATGAGTTTGGTGACCATCTCTTTATGCCTTTGTTTCACTCTCTTGATGTTCCACCATATGTTTGTTTATTTGTTCTTCTGTTTTTCTTTCCAACTCGTAGGTGTTTATCAGGTCCCGGTACCTTTTTTCCATTTCGCTTTCCACTTGCTTCTGTTTTGCTATGATGTTCCTCTACCATTCTTTGAGTAGTGCTTCCTTGGCCCTTTCCATTATGTGTTGTGCTGTCTTAGTTCGGATTGGTGTTTTCAGCTGTAGGCCCGTTGGAGTTAAGTCTTCATCCTGGCATCTTAAGTTGGAAGTCTAGATGGTTCCTTAAGCGTGAGCATTTTGATGTAACTTTTCCAGCTGTTGGAAGTCTCTTGTTCCTTGTTCTCCGTATTCTTTTTTAAACATCTTTGTTACGTTCGTACTGTGTTTTTCTGATTTTATTTTCTTTAGTTCTTCGTTGTACACAGTGTGATGATGGTTTGTGTTGACCTTTGCCGACGTGTTTCAACGTCACTGCCGTCTTCGTTGGGATAACCGCCAGATGTTTGTGGCATCATTTCCTTTTATCCGCGGGCAGCAGAGGGTGCCCACGCCCTCACCGCTGATCACAGTGTCCCATGAATGGTCCAGCGACTCTGTAACAAACATACATAGAAGAAACCAGACGCCAACTCAACACACCACGAATAGAACATAGAAAGGAGTGTGAGAAGGAAACAAGTCAGACACACAAGAAGAAATCAGCCACAACAGACCACTGTACAAGAGAAAACCATATAATGGACTGGGATAACACGCAGATCATAAACACAGAACAACTAAAGATGGATCTAAGAAGCTGTTGAAACAAGGAGGCGTGGACCCAGGACCATGAACATGGATGAAGGAGTCTACCATTCATGAGACACTGTGATCAGCGGAGAGGGCGCGGACAGCAGAGGGTGATATCGTCCTCTGCTGTCCCCGGATAAAAGGAAGTGATGCCACCAACAACCGTCGGTTACCCTGATGAAGACGGCAGTGACGTTGAAAAATGTTGGCAAAGGTAAACACAAAACCCTCATCACACTGTGTACAACAAAGAAGTAAAGAAAACAAAAAAACGTAAAGAACAACTCTTTTTCCTGTTTAAAAAGAACCAAGAAAAACAAGTAGAAAGATGCACAGAATGACCCTACTGGAGGTGTTTCACTACCATGCCTCATCTGTGGAAGCACTTGGGGACTTCAGTTCAATGTAAGGAAACTTAGATGTTCCACCAGGTAGACATGTATATGAGTGGATATGGCAGATTTCTAATGAAGGTACTAGTCCTAATCCTCCATCCGAACTCTAATGTCAGAAATGATATGATGTTTATTCTAAACAGTCACATTCAAGGAGTGGATTATCTCCAGCAGAGCAGGTCAGCTTAGACCCAGTCACACCACCACGATCAATATCAGCTCCTGCTATAAGTCTGTTGATGGTTTTCTCCTGCAATCATAAAATAAAAATGCAAGAGAATCTTCACAGAAAAACAAACATGCTTTCACACTTCCTCGTCCTCCACCCACTTGCCCATCTGATCTGTATAGATCAACTGGTCTGTCAAAGAGCATTGGAGTAGTTTAGCTCTTCAGCATGTGACACATTCTCTGTTGATCTGACAAAACAGCAACAACAAAAAAGATAAAACCCCACTAAACTCAAACTGCAGTTTGAAGCTGACTTCTATATTTTATTCATTGTGTTCAAACAAATTTACCCTGGAAAAAAAAATGGGACCAAAAATGTGGGACTGCTGACACACTTGTGACTGATCTATAAAAAGAAATGTTTCAACTTGAATATCTCACTATTTCACCAAAACTCTCCTCCTTTCTGGTGTTTCACTGTGTGTACACGCACACACACACACACACACACACACGCACGCACGCACGCACGCACACACACACTCATACATACATACATATCTAATTTACAGGTCTAATCTCCACACAAAGGCCTCTGCTTCTAATGCCACGTTGAACATCTGTCATTCTCCCTGATCGTTACTAGAAGTGTGGCCGGTTGAATAATATTGTAGCGCACATCAGGAATCGAAAGAGATGACATTAGTTTTCTTTGCAGAATCAAAGACTTTCCTGCATTTAAGTACCCAGAGAAATTTGGGAAAATCAGTCTTGCCTTTAAAAAGTATCTTCCCCTTGGTCCTGGCAACCTTCATTACTTGTATTTGTCTGTGTAGTTAAAAGCCTCATTACCACCATCTTTGAGGCTGGATCCTGCTCTGTGTTATCAATCCTGCCAAGTCGATAGCCCTTTCATTAAGCACTGACCTGTGAAAGTTGTGTACACCCAGGGTCGAGAATCCGGTTTTCAAAAAATCCACACATCAACCACTTCTATTAACTTGGTCAGTCCACCTAAACGTAGATTTAAGCATTGTGCAAAAGTCCTTCGCCTCAGGTATTCGTACTCCCTGACAGCTACCGACAGCCCATCCAGCCTCAGCCCAAAATCTTGTCTTAAAGAGTTGGTGGCAACGGCGAATGTGTCAGAGACAGTTGATTGGCCGGATCGATAGCAGTAGCAATATCGCAAAAACAAAGTTACCTAAATTTTTTCTTTGGCAATAAGAGTTGAGGTGTATAAAACAATTTAGTATTTCCTAGAAGGTTCTCCTAAAATGACATCAGCGCCACAGAACAATGTTCCTTTTTTATGACCCGAGTCACAGTTAATTCTCATAGACTAGTCTCCCATTTTCTATACTAGGATTCCAAAATAACGTCTGTGTTACAGTATTAAACATGTCTCTGTGTCTTCCCTGCTCTTTTATGCTTCCTTTAGGATCTCGACCCAGGATAGAGGATGCTGCTCCTCGAATTGTTGAACATCCGTCTGATCTGATTGTATCCAAGGGAGAGCCGGCCACACTAAACTGTAAGGCTGAGGGACGGCCCACGCCAACTGTTGAGTGGTACAAGGATGGTGAGCGGGTCGAGACGGACCGAGAGGACCCTCGATCTCATCGGATGTTACTTCCCAGTGGCTCCCTATTTTTCCTGAGAATAGTTCATGGAAGGAGAAGCAAACCTGATGAGGGAATCTATGTTTGTGTGGCGCGCAACTACATGGGTGAGGCGGTTAGTCGCAATGCTTCGCTGGAAGTGGCAAGTGAGTGATCTTTATGAAGTCAGAGTTTAGCTGTGAGTGTGTGTGTGTGTGTGCGTGTGTGTGTGTGTGTGTGTGTGTGTGAGAGAGAGAGAGAGAGAGAGAGAGAGAGAGAGAGAGATTGAGAGAGATTGATATTGCAGGTTGGCGCTTTGCTCTGTCTGTTGAAGAGCTGAACGATTAACTGTATATGCAATTAAATTGTGATGTGACAAAAGGAGATTTTCTAATTGCAAAGGCTGCGATTTGACTGGCAGCGAGTGGTTAGCACAATGCTAATATACATGGAAAAACCCATAGGGATGCTAATATTGCCAATTCCATTCTAACAAATTACGAATTAGGAACGTGCCAAATGATTACATGTGGAGTCTAATAACAAGTAAAGACTGCCATTAATCAAATAAGTACAGACAAATTTTTTTAGCAAAGCTAGAAAACCGTAAGAGACTTTAACTCTGAGTTTTGGCTAGCAGCTATGGATGTAACTGAACTACGGAAGCTCTGCATGGACAAGACGTCAAAAACTCTAAATACAAAAGTCTTCAATAAACAGGACACACTTCTTTCCTGCTAATACGTGTTCACACACACACACGCACACACACACACACACACACACACACACACACACACACACACACACACACACACACACACACACACACACACACACTGCCCTGTTGTCTAGGTGTGGTCCCGGGTCCTACTGCTCTGCGACTAGCAGGATGACAGTACGGTCTGATCAGGGATGTATGATGGGTACAACTGTTGGAATGACTTTTGGACTCTTCAGGTACTTCCAGCCTTCAGTCTACGGCTGTTGTTACCTTTGCCTGTTGAGAGCTACGGTTACTTGGTCCATCCTGAAGGCTCAGCCTCGAGCCTGAGTGCCCACACCTGGCAGAGAAATACACCTGGAGCTTGGATGTGATGGTCTGCTGTGATTAGATCTCAAAGACAGAATCTGTTCTGGCTGCTGTTGCTCACGTGAAACTGAACTGGTGTCTCTTCATGCTTCAGTAGTGGGATTTCAGGTCCCAGCCTGGTCACAAACAGAGCTTGTGGTCATTTATGTCTCTGAAAGGAGGATCAGATGGTTGGAAGCAGGCGGGGTCTCCTGGTTGACCCCACTCAGCGTGAGCCGGCCGTCTGCTGGTCACCGATCCAGACATGGTGGCCAACCCTCCTCCATGAATTAATTAGAGCACACTGTGGAGTAGATGCATGTGGCTGTGTGTGTGTGTGTGTGTGTGTGTGTGAGTGTGTGTGTGTGTGCGTGCGTGCGTGTGTGATAAACAGTACCCTAGACAATGGGACTGCAGTCTGGGTGGGGTCGGGCTGGTGATTGGGGTGTTGGGGGATGTTTAACAACAGGTGGTGTGAGAAAGAAGATCATTAATGATGGCCTCAGGACCGGCTGAGCCCAGTGAGGACTGTTGGACCAATCCGTTATCTCTCAAACACAACAGGTTTTGCTTTCAGAAACGCTGTTTAATGTTTTACACGATGACTTTTTGAGATAAACAGTATACGAACACTGACAGAAAAAGTATGGATGGATTTTATTCACTTTTATTTGTGTTTATAAAGGCAGCAGAGCCTTAGAGGAGAAAGTTGGTCATGTGGGGCTGAAACGATTCCTTGAGTTCCTCGAAAAATTCGAGTACAAAAAAAGCCTCGAGTAAAATTTTCTGCCTCGAGGCTTCATTCAATTCATGTTCAATTACTTCATGGCTTTGCAATCGCCCGGGGTCATGTTTCACCCGGACCAAAATAAGTGACGCACATACACGTTGCACTGAATGCACACGCGAGTAGCGAATGTAATTTAACTTTCTCTTAACCCGTGGTGGACAACGTGGACCCCGGTGGAGTGCGAAAAAGACAGAAAATGTCAAAGGTGTGGGACCATTTTTCACTTCGTAAGGCAGAAAACGTAGTCCAGTGTAAATACTGTAAAATGGATTTAGCCTACCACACCACATCCTCGATGCTGCAGCACCGGACCAGGAAACATCCACATGTAAATGTCTATTCTGCAAATGGACTTGGAGCCTCTACAAGATAATGCATTTTAGCCTGTATTTCTATTAGGGCTGAAACGATTCCTCGAGTACCTTGAATGATTCGAGTACAAAAAATCCTCGAGTCAAATTCTCTGCCTCGAAGCTTCATTTAATTCATGTTTAGTTAATTCATGGCTTTGCAATCGCCCAGGGGTCATGTTTCACTCGGACCGAAATAAGTGACGCACATACACACTGCACTGAATGCACACGCGAGTAGCGAACGCAACTTAACTTTCTTTTAAGCCATGGCGGACAATGCGGTGGAGTGTGAAAAAGACACAAAATGTCACAGGTGTGGGACCATTTTTCACGTCGTAAGGCAGAAAACGTAGTCCAGTGTAAAAACTGTAAAATGGGTTTAGCCTACCACAACACCACATCCTCGATGCTGCAGCACCTGACCAGGAAACATCCACATGTAAATGTCTATTCTGCAAATGGACTTGGAGCCTCTACAAGATGATGCATTTTAGCCTGTATTTCTATATATTCTGCAGACACTGTGTGACTTTTTCATTTGTAGCACTTAGTTTCAGCTCACACCGTATGTCTGGTAGCAACACGTCGGACTTAAAATGTGCTAAAAATAGCAGTTTTTTCAACACGTCGGACTTTTTACTGTGTTGTTATTGATGTATGTTGTCCCTCGGGGTTGCTGCAGGAGGACAGGTGTTTATGGAGGAAAACGAAAGAAAGTAAATAAATGTTTTGTGATCAGTATAATTTGACATAACCACGGCAAACATGCTTTCGACAATCCTTGTTAGTGTGAGACAAAAAAAAAGTGTAGAAATTAAACCGAACATGTGTTAAAAGGGAAACAGCTGGCGAGCCATGTTTGCGCATGCACCGCGAGCGGTTCTGGTGCTGTTTCGGCCATAGCCGCTCGCATTTGTTAACTGTGAAGTAAAGTTGAAGTGCTGAAGTTTTGAAAACTAATTTTGAATAAAACTTGAAGAATAACTGGCAATTGCTTTCTCATTTCAAGAGGTCTTTCATATTTTATAACATGCTGATATAATGGTTTAAAAACGCGAAAGAGTAATTTATTAGAGTACTCGAGTAATCGATAAAAGATTCGATAGAGTACTCGATCACAAAAATATTCGATAGCTGCAGCCCTATTGGAGACCAATGGAAGACAAAGTGAGCAGTGAGTCCTTCATGGCTCCGTGATCCTCCACCCAGATCCACACTTCCATGTCAGGAATAGGTTAGGAGGGGGTGAGAGTGAGTGTCTGTATTCCTTCCACGGGGGTTTTGTTTTCAGAAGCCAAGGCCAAAGTGGGGACTCAGATTCAGGCCCTGTCCACACGTAGCCGGGGATCTGCCTAAAAGTAGATATTTTTCTACGTTTTGGCCTGTCATCCACACGAAAACAGAGTTTTTTCACACGAAAACGGATCTTTTTAAAAACTCCGGCCAAAGTGAAGATCTGCGTTTTCTCCGTTTTGGGTGTCTGCGTGTGGACGGACAAAACCGGAGTTTTAAGGTCCGCAACGTCACTTTCTGCGACAAAAAAATGCTGACATCACGTGTGCGACCTGTGTTTACACTAGCCGGCATCATGGAAGCCCTCAGAGCTGCGCTCTGTCACTACCCGGTCCATCAATTGTCCAAGCGCTTTCTGCTTGTTTGTTTTTGCAAGCGGAATTACTGCTCCTTATGGAAGACCACAGACGAAGGACGAGGTTAAGAACGGGGGAAGTACTGCCGCCTACAGGTCTGGCATGTTCTTAACAACGTATTTATCCGGGTACGTGTGGACAGAGGTTTTTTTTTAAAACGCAGTGGTGTGGATGCAAGTTTTTGGAGGGGCGGATATTCGTTTTTAAAAAACCCCGGCTACGTGTGGACTAGGCCTCAGATAACATTTATTGTTTTGGAGCAGGCCAGAGATAACGTTTTTGTCTCTGCCTTTCAGTTCTCCTGGTCACAGGAGTATCCAGTCAGCCAAATAATGGGGTTTAAATCCATCTGTGCTGAGCAGTGTTATTCTCCACCAATACATACAACTACACAGATCTGCATAAAGCTTGGTTTATGCTTGACGCATTCACTTTCCGCTTGGTGATGCGGCTCGCGGATGGAACGCGCTTCACAACTCGCAGCGTTTATGGTTCATGCGGCTTGTCTCTGCGGTGAGCCAATATTCTCCCAAACTGAACGGGGCAGCATAGAGCTCTACGGCATGCATCCAACACTACACCATAGAAGTAAAAATGACTGTTGTTTACAACATGGCATTCCAGCATTTGTTAACAGCGTCCTCGTCTTTTCCGACAGTACGAGCTTTTTCTCTCCAAGAATTATTAACAACATGTTGATCACGTTGATCTTTGAGAGCTGAATCATACAAATGTCTGTATTTACGAACCTCTGCCATACTAGTTCTTGCCAGTCCGCCATGTTTTTCCGCGTTCGACCATCCGCGTGCTTAGAAAATTTCCTAGGTGCGCGGTGTGGAAAGTTTGGGCTGTGTGGAGGCGCGGTGGAGGGGCGTGGTTGTTAAAATGATGCAACTTTTCTGCGCGGAGCCATGCGGACCTCGCGGACGCGTCAAACATAAACCAAGCTTGAGCCTCCATCCTACTCCTGTTTTGCAAACAAATTACTTGTGGCTCATTTGCATTTTTTGACTCAGACTCTTTTCTCAAATCCTGGGCAGCTCAAACGTGAGTGTGTGAAATAGAAACCTCCACAAAGGTCTGCCATATCCATACAAAATAGCCCACTCACTTGTTGATCTGCTAAAAAGTCTACGTGTACATTACATTTGGTTCCAATTCTAGCTACCTTCCCAAAGAACCAATGACAGGCTTTGCTAGGGCTGCTCGATTATGGCAAAAATAATAATCACGATTATTGTGACCAAAATTGAGATCTCGATGATTTTAGACGATTTTTCAATTTATGTTGATTTTAATTGTTTTTATTCTGTCATAAAATTGCTCAGGCCACAATCAGGACAAAAATAAATAAGAAACAAGATGATCACTAAAATAACTCCTGATTCCCAGTATAAAAAGACTAATATACTTATAGCTCATAGTCTATGTCCCAAGGGCTATAGACCTTGGTTTAACTCATTTAAGTCTAACCAGTACAGACCCAAATACCAATATCGTGCAAATACTGACAGCAAGAATTATGCAGTGGCATTTATAACAAATAAATGCAAATAAATTGATGTTCACAAAATGTTGCATAACATTTATTGAGTCATGTCAAGGTGCTGTAGGAGAGTGCACGAGCACCGTGTCCTCAGAGAGGTTAGTTATTATTTATCAGAGTGAGGAACTAATTTCTATCTATTTCTACCCTATTTATAAACTATTTATTTACAGGTCCATCAGTTAATGTAATAATTGTCCCAACCACAGCTGCACCCCCCCACCCCCAACCCGGGCTCACAGCAATCGGGAAAGCTGCACGTGTGTTTAGTACGCTGCACGCCGCACGTGCACATTTAGCCGTTTTTAGCGGCTCAGGAGCCCATAGGTGCGGTGTGTGTGTCACTCACTCTGGTTAGTCCAACAGGGAGCCGGCTCTGAGAGCCGTTTCTGTAGCGACCGACACATCACTACATCATTCCCTTTCCTAATGTCCTGAAGAACGGTCCAGAGCACAGGCGGAGTGTTTAGCTAACCTGCAGGTAATGTCGACGACAGTTATCCAGAAAGTAGCTAAGGGTTACCAGAGATGTTTCCAAGGTGTTCGCTAGGTACTTTTAGGATTAAAAAAGTCAAGAAGGGGGTCTGAAAAGCTGCTAGAAATAGCGTCAAAGTCGCAAAGTTTGCAACACTGTGGGAGGAGTGCTTCATTTGCAACTCAGGGCAGCGCAAATGGGAGGAGCAAATAATTGGCTTGTTTTGTTTTTATAATCGTTCAAAACTCAGGTCGTAATTGGGATTAAATTTCGATTAATTGAGCAGCCCTAGGCTTTGTCTCATCAGCAAATCATGTGTCTCAGTGGAATATGACTTTTCTCTCTAATTCAAAATGTAAATTCTTTATTTACGTTAGTTAAATTTTTCTGAAAGTTACTGGCACCTACTGGTAAGGAGTGGGAATGTAAGCAAGTTTGGCTGTGAGCATTACAACGACAGACCTCTACCCTCTTGGTGGAAGGTAATGATTTGCATTTACTCACTTTACTGTAATTGAGTAACTTTTTGGTGTATTCATACTTTCTCAGTAATCTGTACTTTTACTTTTACTTGAGTATGTTATTTAAATAATTGTTCTTCCCTACATTTTCAATCATATCCGTTACTGGGTAAAACATTTATAGACTTAATAAAAATGAGAAGTATTGACCTTTGTGCGAGAGACACCTGTGGGGGGTCTGGGTGTACATTTTTTATAAGGAGGACGTTTAACAGCCATAGTTTTGCTCAAAAACACCAGTACGGTCCCTCTGATGCACTCACTGTTTACCCCGTCTCTCCCTCTCTCTCCTGTTGGTTGAAAGCTGCACCTTCGTGCACCAGTGTTACGTCAGTATTCTGCTCGGTTCAGTAGCCGGTATCTGTTCTTTTGTTGAAATGTGTTTCCCCAACTGCTCCGCACGGCAGCAGGAACGTTTATAGCACCTTACCAACTGATTCCCAGCATGGTCTGCTCATAGAGCAGGAGACCTGCAGCCTCTGTGAGTTTACACTTCCTGTTTGTGCAAATCAGCACTTCATACTGGAGCTAATTCAGCGTCTGTGTGTGTGTGTGTGTGTGTGTGTGTGTGTGTGTGTGTGTGTGTGCGTTTGTGTTTGTGTGTGTGTATGCATGTGTGTGTGTGCACACGTGCGTGTGTGTGTACGTGTATGTGTGTGTGTGTGTACGTGTATGTGTGTGTTTGTGAGTGTGTGTGTACCTGTGTGTGTAGCAGGTGTGGACTCCATAAGAAGTCCAGTCGATTCCCCATCCATCAGCACACAGCTTCACACACATCTGAACCTTCCTTCTGTCTCTAGTTTTGAGGGACGACTTCCGTCAGACGCCCAGTGACGTGGTGGTGGCAGCAGGGGAACCTGCTGTCATGGAGTGTGTCCCGCCCAGAGGCCACCCAGAGCCCACCATCTCCTGGAAGAAGAATAACATCCGGGTCAACGATCGGGATGAAAGGATCACTGTAAGTTGATTCTGTAAAGATTAAGGAGTTGTTTGTCAGAAAAACTCTCTAACATTTTCTAATTTAGCTGTGATCTAATCCTGACGAATCCAGATGTGGCACCACTGGCCCTACTGGAACCCACTGACCCTGCTGTAAGCCAAATCGTTGTCGTCGTCTTCCTCCGCTTATCCGGGTTGCGGGGGCAGCATCCCAACTAGGGAGCTCCAGACTGTCCTCTCCCCGGCCTTCTCCACCAGCTCCTCTGGCAGGACCCCAAGGCGTTCCCGGACCAGATTGGAGATTTAACCTCTCCAACGTGTCCTGGGTCGACCCAGGGGCCTCCTGCCGGCAGGACATGCCCGAAACACCTCCCCAGGGAGGCGTCCAGGAGGCATCCTGACCAGATGCCCAAACCACCTCAACTGGCTCCTTTCGATCCGGAGGAGCAGCGGTTCTACTCCGAGTCCTTCTCGAATGTCCGAGCTCCTCACCCCATCTCTAAGGCTGAGCCCGGCCACCCTACGGTGGAAACTCATTTCGGCCGCTTGTATCCGCGATCTCGTTCTTTCGGTCATTACCCAAAGCTCATGACCATAGGTGAGGATTGGGACGTAGATCGACCGGTAAATCGAGAGCCTGGCTTTGTGACTCAGCTCCCTCTTCACCACGACAGATCGGTTCAGCGTCCGCATCACTGCAGATGCTGAACCAATCCGCCTGTCGATCTCCCAATCCCTCCTACCCTCACTCGTGAACAAGACCCCAAGATACTTAAACTCCTCCACTTGAGGTAGGACCTCTCTCCCGACCCGGAGTTGGCAAGCCACCCTTTTGTGGTCGAGAACCATGGTCTCAGTGCTGATCCTCATCCCAGCCGCTTCACACTCGGCCGCGAACCTACCCAGCAAGAGCTGAAGGTCAGAGCTGGATGCAAGCCAAATCTGCAACAGAAATTCTGATCCTTATTGACATTTTATTTCTACTTGAAAGGATCGGGCGCTGCAAATCAGGATTTAAAACATGATCTATGAAATAGTTAAAGCTTCTTTCCGGAGTATTTCTCTTATTCAATGGCACCATCTAGTGGCTGACAAGCATATCACACAAAACCGCTGTTCCTTTGTTGAAGATGGCGACTTCATGTCTCTGTTTATAAATTGGCTTCTGTAGCCGACAAACAGCTAAAACACGTTGTTTTACGAGTATTATTCTCATGTCATGCTGTGTTTTCATATATTTATATTTTAGAGACTTTCTTGTCTGTGAAAAGTTCATCAACTCCTTACATTTGAAGCATCTAAGCGGTAGTCTAACGCTATTGGTTAGTTCTGGTCGGCGCTCAGTTTCCTATTGCATGGAGCTCTGCCGGGCAGGGGGCGTGCTTAGCAAAAAAAAAAAAAAAGACATATTGCTCATATGGTGTCACAGTACATGATACGATAATCACTTTTACGGATTTCTGACAAATCATACATCATTTCTGAAAGAGGAAAACTCCGGAAAGCAGCTTTAAGGAGGATGACCTGTTTGTGTATAGCACCTTCTTAGGGTTCTACAACCCCCCAAGGCTCTTCACAACACATCCATTCACACACACACAGTCACAGGCTGGTGGGGAAGAGCTACGATGTAGCCACAGCTACCCTGCGGTGCACTGACCGAGGCAAGACTGCTGAACACAGGCGCCACCGGTCCCTCCGACCACCACCAGCAGGCAAGCTGGGTTAAGTGTCTTGCCCAAGGACACAACAACAACATCCTCTGTCTGGAGCTGGGATCAAACCTTCTGATTACTGGCCAACCCGCTCTACCTCCTGAGCTGCTGCTGTCCCTAAATGCATACATAGTATATGTAGTTAAACTAATGATGTAGTACTTCTGCCAAAAGAAGGTGGGGGTTTGAAAGGGGTTGTGTCCATCCTCTGTGTCTGATTCCACTTAGCTGAGTAATGTGTCCAGCCACATACAGAACATCTCCCTGAGAGCTGGTCTCTTGATTAGACATCAGATCAGGTGACGAGTTACAAGACACTGGGCGGATGTTTCATGGAGAGCATGTACCTTGTTTTCAGATCCGTGGAGGGAAGCTGATGATTTCCACTACCAGGAAAAGTGATGCCGGTACGTACGTGTGTGTTGGGACCAACATGGTGGGAGAGAAGGACAGTGATCCAGCTGAACTGGTGGTGTTTGGTGAGTCATTTGCACTGAGAGGTTTTGGTTACCTGACCACTGACTTCTGGAGACTGACGTTATTAAAATAGAAGCCTCAGTGTTTGTAGTATTTTTTTCTTTGGGCCTCAGGATTAGCTCAATCTAATCAGTTCCTGCTTCTCTGTTCATTTAAACATCCATGCTAGTGTGTTTCAGTGCATTTTCTTTCATTTTGTCCTCTGACCTGTTTGTTTTGGGCTGAACCAGAGGCATTCAACCAGACAGTTGCTGTTTAGTTTCACAAATACACACTCAGTGCAGTTACACGTGCACTGACCAACATCTAAGTGGATCCAGGTCGATTTTATTGTACGTAGCTGGGAGTGTTTATCCTAGTTTACATGCACATTAGAAAACCGACCTCTCAAATAAAGCTCGTTCCACTCCGGTACAGTAGGTGGCGATGTTCTTCTGGTTAGCTTATAGCCACACAAGCGTTAAACAGAGGCTGGCGAGAGGGAAGCAGAGTTAACTGAGACAGGATATGTACTATGGCTGAAGGAATGCAGAACAATGCTGCAGCACAGCTAGTCTGGTACGTACTGTCCTGTTTTATGGTGTTACGCTATTGCTTTGTGATGGTGGTCTTCTCAGAAGACCACTTCTGTGCTCTGACCACTTCTGTAATGCGAGTGTCCTACTTTTTTAGTTCAGCTGACCCGATTACATGCAGGATGTAATCAGATTACTGCATCATAATCTGGGTGCTTCAGCTCCATTAGAACCAGTTCGTAAACAGACTAACGCGTTAAAAAGCAGAATGTAATCAGATTGCTACAGCATTGTCTGGGTGCTTCAGCTCCATTAGAACCAGTTCGTAATCAGACTAACTCGCTTACCTGCAGAATGTAATCAGACTACTACAGTATTATCTGGGTGCTTCAGCTCCATTAGAACCAGTTAGTAAACAGATTAATGCGTTTACATTCAAGATGTAATCAGATTACTACAGTATTATCTGGGTGCTTCAGCTCCATTAGAACCAGTTCGTTAACAGAATAACGCGTTTACCTGCAGAATGTAATCAGATTACTACAGTATTATCTGGGTGCTTCAGCTTCATTAGAACCAGTTCGTAAACAGACTAACGTGTTTACATGCAGAATGTAATCAGAATACTGCAGTATTATCTGGGTGCTTCAGCTCCATTAGAACCAGTTCGTAAACAGACTAACGCGGTTACATGCAGGATCTAATCAGATTACTACAGTATTATATGGGTGCTTCAGCTCCATTAGAACCAGTTTGTAAACAGACTAACGCGTTTACATGCAGGATGTAATCTGATTACTACAGCATTATCTGGGTGTTTCAGCTCCATTAGAACCAGTTCTTAAACAGATTAATGCATTTACATTCAAGATGTAGTCAGATTACTACAGTTTTATCTGGGTGCTTCAGCTCCATTAGAACCGGATCATTAACAGAATAACGCGTTTACATGCAGGATCTAATCAGATTAGTACTACATTATGTGAGTGCTTCTGCTCCATTAGAACCAGTTCATAAACAGACTAATGCGTTTATATGCAGGATGTAATCAGATTACTACAGCATGATCATGGTGCTTCAGCGCCATTAGAACCAGTTCGTAAACAGACTAATGCGTTTACATGCAGGATCTAATCAGAGTACTACAGTATTATATGGGTGCTTCAGCTCCATTAGAACCAGTTCATAAACAGACTAACATGTTTACATGCAGGATGTAATCAGATTACTACTACATTATGTGAGTGCTTCAGCTCCATTAGAACCAGTTCATAAACAGACTACTGCGTTTATAGGCAGGATGTAATCAGATTACTCCAGCATTGTATTGAGTGCTTCCGCTCCATTAGAACCAGTTCATAATCAGACTTAACGCGTTGATCTGAAGAATGTAATCAGATAACTTCAGTATTATCTGAGTGCTTCAGCTCCATTAGAACCAGTTCGTAAACAGACTAACGCGTTTACTTGCAGGATCTAATCAGATTACTACAGTATTATATGGGTGCTTCAGCTCCATTAGAACCAGTTCGTAAACAGACTAACACGTTTACATGCAGGATGTAATCTGATTACTACAGCATTATCTGGGTGCTTCTGCTCCATTAGAACCAGTTCGTAAGCAGATTAATGCATTTACATGCAGGATGTATTCAGATTACTACATCATGATCTGGGTGCTTCAGCTAATATAACTGCAGCTGTTAGCTCCCAATATGGACTTCATGCAGTGAATACAAATCCAGTGGAAGGTCGGGGGAAATCTGTTGCGTCTGTTATCAGTAAATGTCACATGCACCGAGGACATGGCCGTGCTGATGGTCATCCAGTTAGTGGGACTACCAGTTCTGGTATCTGCTGTGTAGAGTAACCTCATGTCTGATCTGTGAACTTTCCCTTTACGGTAAGCTATGGCTTATACAATGAACTGATTCAGTAATGTGCATCCTACCTTCATAACAGACCCAAAGTGAAAACATGTTTGCATTAACGTGTTACATATTGCACATGTAAATAATGTATATAGCTGCAGCTTTTTCTGACTAAAATTCCAGTGGCTTTATTTCAGAGAGGCCTGTCTTCACCAAACAGCCAGTGAACCAGGTGGTGTTGATAGAAGATATGGTGGAGTTCTTCTGTGAGGCTTACGGAGATCCGACTCCAACTGTCCACTGGAAGAGGGAGGAGGGAGAGTTCCCACCGGGCAGGTACCAAGAGAGTGTTTCTGCTCAAAATGCAGGAAGATAATAAACAGATACAGGACAGAAAAATAGTCAAATAAAAACAAGTTAGATTTTGTAACTAGTGGTTGCAACAAACAGACACCGTTGAAGGTAATCAGAAGTGAGGAACAGAAAATGAAATAATTATTTTAATGTTTAGAGCAGCAGGAACTCTGAGAGGCTGCAGGCGCATCAGTGAGTTTGCGGCCGCTGCGCAGGGGGCAACACATTCTCACACCCAAAGCGCCGAAAAATGACGCGTGTGACCAAGCGTCAAATATGACGATCTGGGGTGGCCCAGCGCGTCGGGAGAGGACGCGCAGGGACACACAGGGACTCGGACATTATTCCTCGAACGTCTAGCGATTTAACCTTCCCCTCACCCCCATCCTAACCTTAACTCAGTAATTTTCAAATAAGCTTTGCATGCGCACGCTGGTAAAGGTTAGAATGGGGTGAGAGGAAGGTTAAGTAGTTCAAAAGTCGGTCAAATGTCCGTCTCACTGCAGACGTCGGATACCGACGCTCTGGGACAGTGCTTTCTCTCCTGACGCGATGGGGCACCCCGGATCGTCATATTTTGACGCTTGGTCACACGCGTCATTTTTCGACGCTTTGGGTGTGAGAACGTGTTGCAGGGGAGGGGGAGAGGGCTGAAGCAACATGCAGAAACTACCGTTGTTAAAAGAGATGTTTAACTTAGAAAATGTGGGCACAATTTTAATTGTCAAAGACTCCAGTGAACCAACCCGCTTCAGGTGTGTGATGTCATCAACGACTAGTCAAAGTCGACTCGATTTTCATTACTTGACTGTTGACTTTAAAAAAAATTAAGTCATGCACCCCCAGTCCAGATCCTACACAAAGGTCAAGTTCACTGTAAGGGACTTTGTATTTCTTCTGTTTATTTGTCATTCTGTACCCTTAAGCAGCAGTGCATCCCACTGCTTTTAAAAATGATGTTTTGATTATTTATTTTATTATGAATGGTTCTGTTCAGATCTGAGATCCGAAGTGACAACAGCCTGCGTCTGAGCCAGGTGAAGACAGAGGACGAGGGCACGTACACCTGTGTGTCTGAGAACAGCGTGGGAAAAGCTGAGGCCTCCGCAACGCTGCAGGTGCACGGTGAGACAGGCTACACACACACACACACACACACACACACACAATCAATCAATCAATCAATCAATCAAAGCTTTATTTATAAAGCGCCTTCCGCGACCCTGTCGGGAAGCCCATGGCGCTGAACACGGTACATGAGACATGTGAAACATGATGAATAAATCGATAATAAAAGCAATTCAAATAGTGCAAAACAAGTAAAACATTAAAGTAGAAGACAAATGGGTAAAACAAGGGATAAAGAGACCAATGAAAACAGGGAAATAAAATCAACATAAAAGAGGGCCAAATTCAAACACGTTCAGGAAACGCCAACCAGAGGAGGTGGGTTTTTAGGCGACGCAAAGACTGGCAGAGATGGGGACACCTTAACTGGGGGTGGCAACTGGTTCCAGAGTGACGGTGCTAGGACTGAGAAAGCCTGGTCCCCGCGAGTACGACACCTAGAACGAGGGACAGCGAGCAGGCCTTGGTCAGAGGAGCGCAGAGTGCGTGATGGGGAATGTCTGTTTAGGAGTGTGGCTAGATAGGGTGGAGCACCACCCTGGAAGAAATTAAAAACAAAGACGAGGAGTCTGAAGTGTGAACGATAGCAAACCGAAAGCCATTGCAGGGAGGCCAGAACCGGACTGATGTGGTCCCGTTTCCTGGTCCCAGTCAGGAACCTGGCTGCACTGTTCTGCACAACCTGTAGGTGGCGCAGTGATGACTGACACAACCCTGCATATAGAAAGTTGCAGTAATCAAGCCTAGAAATTACAAAAGCATGGAGTACCCGCTCCAGGTGGGCTCTTGACAGCATGGGCTTGATTTTTGCAATGTGTCTCAGGTGAAAGAAACTGGACCGGATCACAGAGTTGATGTGTGCATCAAATTTAAGTCCAGCATCAATTTTCACCCCCAAACTGGTCACAACTGGTTTTGAGTATGGAGAAAGAGGCCCAAGAATCGGACTTATGTTAAAAAAAAAGAAGAAGAAGAAAATATCATTTCTATAGTGCCTCTCAAGATAAAAATCACGAGGCGCTTAAGCATAATTCTGCGCACACGAAGACGCATAAGAGACCTGGATGATGAAGCTCAATGGTTAAAAGAATCACTGAAGCAGTGTGAAGCGCTCCGTCGCGCATCTAGGCGGTACCATCGGAGGCGAGCTGCCGTGGTTCGCCGCATGCTACAGCAGCGAGCTATCTAGGTGCGCACAGCGTCCCCCGGTCCCATCCTCCTCCCCCTCCCCCTTGTCCGGAACTCTACCTCACCAGTCTGAAGCAGCCACCCTGTCCGTAACAAGTCTGGACCTGTTACTAGGGGCTTCGTCCGGTTAAATTCCGGAAAACGTTATCCGGATGTTTGTATTCAGACACAAAGGTCTTACGGACAGAGTCCGGAACATTTCCGCTTTTCATGGCCTGTCTGAAGGGGGCTTATGACTACGTTTACATGCAGCCAATATCCGGGTTATGATCAGGTTAAGGTCGGTATTCGGGTTTCTGAGTTGATCAGAATAACCCGTTTACAAGCATAAATAGAAAGAGTTACCTCTAACTTGCATAACTCGATTTAAATGCGGATGTTGGGGTAGCGTCAGGACATATGGACTACTTCCAGACACAATATGCATCATTTCCGGTTCTTCTTGTTCCGGTATCCATGAAAACAACAACATGTTTCCCAGTTCGGAAGAGATAGCGACCACGTTTGTTTGCGCTTTAGTTTCCTCGTCACTCCAAAAGTGTGGTGCTGTGCTGTGACTCGCCATGTTGCTCCCAACTTGTTGTTTACTTCCGGTGTTCTGGCGCATACAAGACATCTCGCTACTCAAAAGACCAAGATTCCTTGCGAACAGAGCATGCGCAGAACACACGCTTTGATGGGGATATCCCGATATGCGTTTACACGACCAAACATTCGGGTTAGAAAAGTGTTACCCCAGGTGTAGTTAGGGTTTTTAAAAACCCGGTTATGAGCATATCCGGGTTTTTGGCTGTGTTTACAAGGACCTGCGGAACCGGGTTACTGTGAATATTCAGGTTTTAAAAGAGTTACTGGCTGCATGTAAACACACTCACTGGTGAGTAAATCTGGCAATCGTCAGCATAGAGATGGAACGCTAGACCGTGTTTACGAAAGATTTACCACGGAGGAAGCAAATAAATGGCAAACAAAAGAGGACCAAGGATCGATCTTTTTGGTACCCCCCAGCAGAGTCCCTCCCAAGAAGAAAAAACATCACCCAATTTAACACACACCTACACCTACACACACACACACACACACACACACACACACACACACACACACACACACACACACACACACACACACACACACACACAGGTAGGCCATTTGCTTGGCTGACTAACATTAGATCGGGTCCTTTGTGTTGTAAAGCACCTTGGGGGGTGATAGGACTCTGGAGGCGCATTAGCACATTGGGCTTCTACCGTTCTGTGTGTCTGGCTCTATACCAGCTGATTAATTTTCCATGGAGCAACTCTTAATTATCACTGGCTATTCGTCTGCTCTTTATATAAACGCATTTTTGCGCCTGTGGCGGAAACGTTCTTTTGAGGTGAACATTGCTACAGATTTATCATCTATCTTCTCTTCATGCTGCTTTTTCTACCAATCCTGTCTTTCCCATGATCCCGTACTACCTTTTCTTATTCATTCTCTTTTTATTTAAAATGTTCCCTTTTCCCCATTCTTTTCTTACTATGTTTTTTCTAATAATTTATATATTTCTGTTTTCTAAATGATTTAAAAAATGATATTTAGATCTTGTGAAGCACCTCGTGATGGATCATGATTTGGATCTTGGATCTCGTGAGGATCTATGCAACCTGCATCACTTCCTGTGCACAATCTGACATGCTTGGAGTAACCAATCTGTGGTTCTCTTTGTCGCAGTGCCTCCTCAGATTTTGGTGCGGCCACGAGACCAGATAACAGCTCCAGGTGGCACCGTAACCTTCCTCTGCAGCACCAAGGGAAACCCTCCACCAGCCGTCTTCTGGCAAAAAGAAGGCAGCCAGGTAAGAAAACAGGCCAGATGTGGTAGTGGTGACACTGGTCTCACCCCATTTCAAACATCTGCAAAATCCCATCTTGAGTCGTAAGTTCAAGTTCGACAACCCTGGTAACATTCTGTCCATATATCTATATCTATATATCTATATATATCTATATATCTATATATCTATATACATATATATATATACATTATAAAAAGGCTACTCAAATGTTTTAGAAAGAATGTGTTTGGGTTTATAAAAATAGTTTAGGGGTGTTTAATAAGTTATCAAATGAAGATTAACCCATCCAGCACCAGAACAGAGTTCCGGTACCCGTGTGACGAGGCTTCTCGGTGACCCGGCTGGCCACAAAGTCGTCTCAGCAAGCTGGATATTGCCGGCCATATTCGTCTGAATCTGCTTCAGCTGGTCAGAGGTAGCCTACCATGTCTGATGAGTTGTTATGCAGGTTATGCCCGATTATAAGTTTGAGCCAAGGTGGACTACATGGGAGATGACCAAGGAGTACACCATTGCTGAAAACAAATCATAGAAAAGCCAGATTGGAGTATGTCAAACTACATGCTGACAAGACACAAAGCTTCTGGGAGAATGTCCTCTGGACAGATGAGGCAAAGATGGCACATCAGCTCTATGTTCATAGATCGAAAAAGGAAGCCTATCAAGGAAAGAACACTGTCCCTACTGTGAAACACGGAGGACGCTCTGTCATGTTCTGGGCTGCTTTGCTGCATCTGCCACAGGGTGTCTTGAATCTGTGCAGGGTACAGAGAGAAATGTGTTGGAGAGCTTGGTCTCAGAGGCAGGTCATGGGTCTCACAACAAGACAATGACCCAAAACACACAGCTAAAGACACCCAAGGATGGCTAAGAGGAAGACATTGAACTATTCTAAAGTGGCCTTCTATGAGCCCTGACATCAATCCTATAGACCTTTTACTACCTACGTCATCAAAAGTTGCGCGCGCAGCCTGGCAACGAGAGTGAAGGCTTCCTCATTCACACTCGATACTAAAACAGCATTTTAAACCCTTTGTGTTGAAGTTCTGAGCACATAAAAATGTCGGGTTGTTGCGTGTATGGATGCCAGAATCGCTTCTCTTCAAGCAGTGGACTGAAACTTTACAGAATTCCGAAGGGAGCACATCCATTTCAACAAAATCGGAGGCATCAGTGGCTGCAGGCCATCAAAAGGGCTGATGAAAACTGGACTGAAAACACAATCCGAAATGCTCGAGTTTGTAGCACCCATTTTATATCAGGTAAGGTAATTATGTACTACCATTACACCAGAAAGCTGGTTAACGTGTGTTCTATTAAATAAAGTAAGTTGCGTTTGCTGGTTTGCTTTTAAGCAGTCTATTTACAGGAGAGGTGTCATTGGACTCCTCGAGTCTGAGCACGCTAAAAAAAGAAACCTATGCTATACTCATCCTGCCATGCAGGTACAGTTGGCTGTGAAGACGTAGTTCTCTGGTTTGTTTACTATGACCCAAGCCTCGTACATAGCAGTCTTGTGTCCTTGTCTTTGGCTAGGAAGACTTCTGCCTTCAAGACGCAAAACTCAGAGTCTATGTCGTGATATTTTACTTTCTGTACGTGGCCACAGACAACATAGTTGTATGCATCTAACGATGTGTATGCCCGTTGCTTCTCACATGTGTACTTACTGGGCCTCTCCACTAAAAACGTATATATATCGGGCCACTGGATATCTGGCCTTGCACCTACATCTTCCGCCCATAATGCCACAGGGATCTGGGAGTCTGTTGCCATTCGTTAAAGTGAGTTTAATAATATAACATTCAAGATTTGCCAGTGATAACCCCGCAGCGTAGCTTGATAAAGCCAGACACAACGCCATTCTCTGTTGCCAAGCTGCACGCGCATTCTCGCTGACGTCATATTGTTTACAAACAGTAAAAGGGTCTATTAAGCATCTTTGGAAGGAGCTGAAACATGCCGCCTGGAAAACCTGAGACAACTGGAGCAGTTTGCTCATGAGGAATGGGCCAAAATACCTGCTGAGCGGTGCAGAAGACTCTCTGCTACAGGGATTGTTTGATTGCAGTGATTTGTTTGCGCGCTCCGTCCCGCAGCGCTCCTCTACGTGAGTGGGTGGGGGTCGGGGGGTGGGGGGGTATGCTCACTTTCCACTGCTGTTTCTCACCAGTATCCCCTGGTGGAGAGCTCTGGTTTCGTTGCGCTTTTCGTGCCAGCGGACACGGTAGGGTCAGGTAGGGGGGCGGGGCATGATGCTTAGCCTGGCAGGCCGCCAGGCTTATAAAGCGCTGGGGGAAACCCTTTATTAGTTTTGTCAGATTAAAGGTATTTCTGTGACTATTGTGGGTTTTTCTTTTATTTACTGAAGAGCACCGACGATTTTGTCCCCATCTGTATTTCGATATCAACTCATATGAAAAATAATAATTCAATCAGACGTTTTTTCCTTATCGCCATGCCCTTGGTAATGTTTATAAAACATCGGCATAAATAAAGCAACAGATCTGCCACTTATTAAAGTCAACTGAACGTTTAAGTATGACCAGTTTGAATAAAAAACGGTGTTTTTGTTATTAGTACATGTAATGTACATTGGTAAGAATGAACCTCTCATTTGCTTTTTTGTGTTTGCTGGTGTAGGTCTTGCTGTTCCCCATCCAGGAGCCTTTGAAGTCTAGCCGTTCTTCCGTGTCACTGAGCGGGGAGCTCACCATCAGCGATGTGCAGGTGGAAGACTCGGGTTTCTACATCTGCCAAGCTATCAGTGTGGCCGGCAGCATCCTGACCAAAGCCCGGCTGGAGGTGGAGAGTGGTGAGTGCATATGCCAGACACTTCATCTGGCTGATTCTTTTGTGTCTGGATTATGAGACAGACCGTTTCCTGCTTTGCCATTGCCATCGTTTGAAGAGATTCCGTTTTGTTAGAGGTCAGCTAACCCACTGGACCCCAGATCAGTCAGGAGAGGGTTAGGGTTAACCCTGAGAGCAGTAGACCTGGCAGGAAGTCTTCCACTGCTGGAAAACCAGATGATTGCATTGCTACATAAATAACTGGAGCTCAGAACAGGAACACACACTGTCTGTTTGTCCATCCCAGTGGAGGAATTATGGAAGAGTTTCATTCAGCCACATTGGACGATTGCATGTCGATGTACTGCAAAGCTGCTTGATGATGTCCATTGGACAGATAGGCAACCCTGGAAGTTTGTGGAAGATCCCATAAGCTGTAAGAACACCGGCCATGCCGCAGAACGTGAAGGAAGCTTGGCTCTGTCTGGAGGCTTCCTCTGGACAGGGAGTCTTGAATCTGCTCAGGGTCCAATGAAACCTCCCAACCGTCAACAGCCAGCTGTGAGTCAGAAAGCTTTATGGGTCATGGGTCCTGCAGCAGGACAATGAGTCAAACACCAAGAATGGATCAGCACCACTGGACTTCTGTTTGTACCTCATCTGGACAGCTTTAAGTGTTTTAATTGTTTCTTACTTGGGTTGAGTTTATATTAGCATCCTTTACACAACAAACCCATTTTTATAATACATTTGTTTAAGTTATGTTATTTCCCTGCTCTCTACACCAGAAGTCCCCTTGGACAGGGTTCCACCCATCATCCGCCAGGGCCCAGCCAATTACACGCTCGCCTCTGGTGCTACGGCCCATTTCCACTGCCACATCATCGGAACTCCCACTCCCAGCATTCAGTGGGAGAAGGATGGCCAGAGGATCCTGGGGAAAACTGGTCGGACCAGCTTTTTGGAAAATGGCACCTTACAAATCACCAGCCTCCAGGTGAGAGTCACTACCTGCCCCCCCAGGTTACCTACCCTAACCCTAATCACCCGGCACAAAGCTGAGTGGCAGAAGGCCGAGGTTCTGAAGCAAAGCCCGGTTTAACCACCCAACCAACCACATCCAACCTTTAGTCCCAGTTGACTTGTACGGGACTGTTTCACAGGTAATTTCAGACTTCTCCTCATGGTCCTACTGCTGAAATGAGAAAATCAAGTGAACCCAGACTGTTAGAAAAGAGCAGGAACCCTAACCCTAAGCCCCTGCTGCCAGTCACCTAGCTCCACCATTGGTACAATCCAGAAACATTCACTAATAATACATTCCCTCTGAGCAAGCAGCTTTTAGAAGTCTGAACGGCTGCATGGCTGGAGGAGGAAGGCAGAAGATGGTCAGGTGTGATCACCATGACAATGAGCCCACAAGCCCATTAACACCATCTGACTCAATGTTAATTACATCCATTCTACCCACATCAGCACCTGAGGCCACTGAGCTTCTGCCGGCCTCAGACAGGCTCTCTAGGTCATTGATTGTGTTTCTCAGTGATTAACGATCACTGAGTCCTGTAATGAAATGATGAATACATGAGGGTGCATGGATGGATGAGTAGCAGGTGACTACGTTATGTTGGGATTCATTCTTATGGTGAGGCAGTGGCTTGGCAATGCTGGGGCTCTCTGCAGCGGTCACACTGGGCTGGCGGCTCCTCAGACTATGGTTGGAGGGGATCATTCATTGTGTGACAGGTTGAGACAAAAGAACAAAGGTAGAACTTGTGTGTAGAGGTGTGTGTGTGTGTGTGTGTGTGTGTGTGTGTGTGTGTGTGTGTGTGGCAGTTACCAAAACAAGGATTATGAGAGCACGTTTCATTTCTGACGGATTTTTCTCACCAACCTGGACCTGCAGCCATGAAAGCGGCTTTGCTCTGAAGAGAATCGTAGGAGGAAGATGAACCAGCCGTCACTGAAGCTAAATCAGGACAATTAGTCAGGTTCCTCAGGCTTTGAGAGGGACAGATGGTCCGTTTAGTACTGGTTACCCCCCGGGACCTGCTGGAGCAGCCTACAGCACTGTGTGTGTGTTTGTGTTTGTGTGTGTGTGTGTGTGTGTGTGTGTGCGTGTGTGTGTGTGTGTGTGTGTGTGTGTGTGTGTGTGTGTGTGTGTGTGTGTGTGTGTGTGTGTGTGTGTGTGGTTGAACCGTGCTGTAAACACGTGTACTCAATGTGGCACTTCAGTGCATCTTAGTTATAATTAGATATTCTACCTAAAACTGTCAGCATTGCGCCGTCTTCAGGTAAAAACTCTGCACTGCATTTGAATTCAAATCTGCCATCGCTATTGGCTAAGAGGTACACAATGGCATTGGCTAGTACATTATGATGTCACAATGCTGCTGTGAACCTGTGTGTGTGTTTGTTAGTGGCTCTGCCCTCTCTGTCTGCTAGGCAACAGCATTTGTTGCATTTTTCAAACAGGAAGAGGAAGTGGAGTAATACTCTGGTAGGGGGGTGACTTGCTCTTTAAAGCTGCTTTTACATAAATCTTTTAGTTTCTTTTTAACTCAAATTTGTAATCATCTTTCATTTGTTTGATGGTATTTTACAATTTTAGGACTTTTTCTTTTGTTTATTTGTTTCTGTTTTAAGATCATGACTTTATGATTCGGTTTTATTTTGTATTTATCTATGTGAAGCGCTTTGTGATTCTATGTGTGATAAAAATGTACTTACCGTAATGACCGGAATATAGCGCAAGGTTTTATCTGTGAAAATAATGCTAAAATGTTAAAAACCACATTCAAGTCCGTACGGTAGATATATATTTATACATCATTTTGTAGGAATTTACTACAAGTTAAGTTCATTGAGTTTCCCTCTTTGTACTGAAAACTGTATTGTGACAGATATTGAGGTAGAACTGGGGAAACTTAGAAAGAAATTGTACTTGTCATGGTTTTGGGGTAATCGCTTGGCCCACATGCAGACAAACTCAGGACACCAGGATAGTTTAACACATTTAGTTGGTAAATGATGGAACGCTAGTTCCAGACATCAGAGGTGTGACCCTGAAAGAGGAAGAGCAGGTAAGCAGGTGTTGGAGGAAAGGTGGTGAATAATGAGGTACAGCTTACTGAGTGGGTTCTCCAAGTGGCTGGGGAGAAGGGTGAAGAGTTAAGAGAGGTCCACGAAGGGTTTTGCAGCAGGAGATGGCTGAGAGCAGAATGATGATGATGATGATAAAAAGACACTTGGGAGCCAACGCAGATGATGTCCAGGAGGGTGAGATTCAGAACAGTGAGCCTTAAATGCAGGAACCAGGGATACAAGCAGCTGGTCACTGAGGAGACGGGAGTTTCTTAGGCTGAGAACTCGGGGCTGGAGGTTACCACAGGCTGCAGCACTCTGGCAGTGTGCGTTTGGCTTCCTGTTATCCATAGCCCCGCCCCCCGTTAGAGCTGAGTCATTCATCTGTCAGCATTACAGATGACCCGCTTCACAAGGACCAGGGTGGTGGAGGTGCAGGTGGTCTCCATGGAGGAACAAAATGGTTCAAAGTCTTCTGATGAGTAAATAAAAGCAGGCTGAACATGTTTACATTGTTTCTGGGTTTGAACCTGGAAGGCTTTGTGCGTCTGTCTTTGCAACATAAAAGTTAGGCTGTAAAATTCCAACCTGACTACAAAATGAACCAAACCGTGACATTAAACCCAAACATGCACTATACCTGGATTGTCCACCAGAGGGCAGTAGAGATGCGTATGATGACGAATGATGGTCACAAGTCTACTCCCTCTGATTGGTTTGGTCAGGTGCTTAATACATTTAATATATGTGAACAGAACATGTACTTATTAAGGCATAGAAAGTAGGAACCAGTTCTTCTGGACTTATGCCATGGACATGCTGCCACTTACCAGGCCCTACTTGTCCTCCCAGAGCTGAGGCCCCCAACCCTCCCCCCTTATGTGTGCCATTTCACTGCCAGTTCAGCTGTTGGCTCCTCTCCCCACAAAAATATTACCCAGCATTCATCTGGGAAAACAGAAGCATTAATCACACCTGCTCCATCTGCCGGAGTGCCAAGAGGATCTTCGCTGGAGCGCCCTTCCTGATATGTAGGAGTCAGGCGTGGAAAATGAAAGCTCCAGCTTAACTCAAGCTCAGACTTTTAATAGGACTGTTATAATGACGTCCACTCTTAAATAATGGTGACTCAGTCCGAACATGCAGTCAGCCCCAGACCTAAAGCCTGAAGAAAAGGGAATCAGTATAAATGAAAGACTCATCACATTTTTAATGCTTTTGTACTGCCTTTTAAAAATTCAAGAGAGAATCTTGTGGCAGTAAGGCCCTAAATCTGTGTTCTCACCTCTTACACAGGAAAAAGTGCTGATATACTTTAGGAAGATCCTTCAGAGGAAACATCTAGATTTGATATGGTCCTCCTTCCCTTACATCCACACAGTGGTTTGGCGTCTAACCCCATGAGCGTAATTCCAGCTTTAGTCATCCCTTATCGGAAACACGATCTATCAGACTGTGGCTAATAATAGCACTAAAGCCAGCAAACATGATGCAGCATGGTGTTACAGCTGTGATGGTGGGGTGTGTGAAGCTGGGGTTCGCATGAAGATGTCAGAGGGATGTATAAAATCAGCAAGTTTAGCAGGAAGAGGAACTGCTTACTAGAATAGAATAGAGCCAAGTCTCAGTTTGAAGTCAATAACAAAGAAATATTTATTTGTGGGGACTTTTAATTCGGATCTATTAAAATCAAAATTACACAGACCTACAGAAACATTCATAAATACCATGTACAGTCTTTCATTATTCCCAGTGCTTACTGGTCCCACCAGGATCATTGCATACTGCTCTACTTTAATTGATAATATTTTTATAAACGTTATGAATACCAGGATATCAAGTTGACTACTTATTAATGATATCAGTAACCACTTGCCAATTTTTATATCTCTAGAATACAGCACAAACACGGAAAATAGAAGCGATACAGAAGAAAGAAAATCAGACTGAGATCTGAACTTTCAGTAAGCGCTCTTAACAAATGCCTTTCGGAACAAAACGGGAGCAATGTTCTTGGAGAAAATAATGTAAATGAAGCGTATGAAAATTTTGTTGACATATTTAAAGAACTGTATGACAAACATTGCCCAGTTAAAACATGTACATGTACACATGCAAAAGGATTTAGTCCATGGATGACAAAAGGGTTATTGAAAGCATGCAAAAAGAAAAATACGGTAACACTTTAGGGAACACAAATTAACCGCTAATTAGCTGCTAATTAATATGCATATTACTGGACTACTAAGTCTGAACTAGTCATTATTAAGCATTTATTAACTGCTTATTACTAATGCCATAATTCTAACATTAACAGGCCATAAATTAAGAGTTTTATCATAATAAGCCATTCATAATGGTTTGTTAACTGAAAGTAAATGATTTGTTGCTGATAAACGCACATACTAATTAGCTCTGACTTTAGAATGGGGAACATATTCGTGCCTTTAAGTGGTTAATTGATTGATGTTGAGGCTCTATTAACATGTGGAGTTTGGTGTTTATTTACATAATACTAGAACATAATATTTTTGGTTATTAATGCAGAACAACTATTCCCCCTGAATTCTTTAAAAGCCACATATTGATTTGAGCGAATCAGTATGTGCGTTAATCAGTAACAAACGTTTACTTTCAGTTAAGAAACCATTATGAATGGCTTATTATGATAAAACTCTTAATTTATGGCCTGTTAATGTTAGAATTACAGCATTAGTAATAAGCAGTTAATAAATTCTTAATAATTACTAGTTCAGACTTAGTAGTCCACTAATATGCATAATAATTGGCAGCTAATTAATGGTTAATTTGTGTTCCCTAAATGAAAGTGTAACCAAAAATACTTTGTATAAAAAACGTATGAGGAAGAGAACATTCGAATCGAAAACTAAATATAAAAAAATATAAAAATAAACTAATAAATATAATAAAACAGTGTAAAATAAATTACTACAGAAATCTGATTGAGAGAAATTAAAATATATGAATGGACTATGGACTGTGCTAAATCAAGTAATTAATAAGGATTTTAACAATGCTGTTTTTCAAGATTAAATAATTAATGACAGTGAAAAAACAACAAACATGAACACTATTGTTAATACCTTTAATGACTATTTTGTCAACATCGGACTGCAACTTGCCTCTAAAATATCCAAATCAAATAGTGACGCTGACAGTACAAATACATATAATAATGCACACTCTTTATTTTTAATACTGACACATTAAAATGAAATCATCAAAATAGTTAAGAATTGTAACAGGAGATGCAGGGAGGAGGAGCTGTCCCTGGTGCTGATCGGCCATAAGAAAACTGTAACGCTGTCCGTGGTACAGACGCTGAAGGCGGCCAGCCGTTACACGTGGGTTTAATTATGAAATAAACCACACATCTCACTTCCTGTCTGGCTCATGTCATTTCTTTAACTTCACGAAGACCCACATGCAACATCTGGAACAAATAGACTCCACGCAGAAATGTTCCTTAGCTCTACACCTGGATCTGACCGCAGCCATTGTGAAGGCTCTGATTGGGCGCATTGGTCTATGCTGAAACCGTACGGTACCGGTCTGCATTTGATGTGGACGAGGCTAGGCCCAGCAGCTGATTTAAGGGGTCTAAGTACAATCTTGCTGGAACTGGTGCTTTTACTGGATTTTTGGGTTATTCTGTTTCTCTCTGTTAAAAAACTAGCAGTGAAATTTTGGAGCGACCTTTTGTTTGTTAGGGGGTTAGGTTTCAGTTTTCCCTGACTGTAACTTTACCAGTCATCATCTGGTGGTCATGAAAGCATCCCCCCCCTTCACTGCTCAGCGATGAGTACCTTTTCACTGATGCAGACGTTGTTGCATCGATCAGCATCTGTCTGTAATTCGTGCTCAGCTGTGACGACTGTCGGAGCGTTTGGTTGGTTAATAAAGCTCCTTTTTAATGTTTCCAGGAAACAGATTCTGGAGTCTACACCTGCCTGGCCTCCAGCTCCAGTGGGGAGACGAGCTGGAGTGGCGTGCTGACGGTCAAAGGTCTGATGACATGGGACCTTTGTGGTTATGAAGCTGAGACACCACATTTTTACCTTTAGCCGTCTTTTATTCTTCAAAATAGTGGGAAGGGGAAGTTTTTGTTGGTGGTCCTTCTCACAGGATAAAAAAATTGTACAAATGTGATAAATGTATAGACTTTAGGAATACTCCAACTTCCTGTTTGATCCTTCAGTGAAGCAGAGCCCGTAGGTCCCTCTTTAATATAGCAGAAGGCTTTTAGGATAGCAAGTGAGATTTCAGAACATTTGTCTCCATGAACATGTTGACTTGGTTGGTGTTTGGTCCCACAGCTGCTACTAAAACACAGTGAATACAGTAGGTACAGATCACTGATACTGTTCACATGGATTTGCTATAATTGCTATTAGGGCTGAACCATCTGTTGTTTTTGGATTTAGGACCTTACTCCCGCTAGAGTCTCGCTTGAATTTTGGAAATTTTGATTTCCAACAGCACGATCACGTGACCATGAAAGCTGCGTTTTTTAGCGGTTCTGACTGACCCAAGATCTGTTGTGTCAACTTTTTTACATCTGGAGTTTCTCTCCATGTTACGGCGGCAGCAACAGCCATGGCGTGTACCGTCCAGGGCCGAGCCAAACTCCAGAGAGAGACCATAGGTGGGTGAGGAAGAGAGAGCGAGAGAGAGAGAGAGAGAGAGAGAGAGAGAGAGAGAGAGAGAGAGAGAGAGAGAGAGAGAGAGAGAGAGAGAGAGAGAGAGAGAGGGAGAGACACTGTAGGTGAGGGAGAGAGAGAGAGAGAGAGAGAGAGAGAGAGAGAGAGAGAGAGAGAGAGAGAGAGAGAGAGAGAGACTGTATGTGAGTGAGGGAGAGAGAGAATCTGTAGGTGAGTGATAAAGAGAGAGAGAGAGAGAGAGAGAGAGAGAGAGAGAGAGAGAGAGAGAGAGAGAGAGACTGTGGGTGAGTGAGGGAGAGAGAGAGAGACTGTAGGTGAGTGAGTGAGGGAGAGAAAAGTGCCCTTTTTCGGTCATCCGTCAACAGGCTCACAAAGCCCTCGGTCAGGACGTTAGCTTGAAGAGGAGCACTTTTATTAAGTCTAACGTAGCGTGATGAAATAAATCATTAGCGTTTGTAATTAGAGCAAAAATACGTGACATACAAACGTGTTCTAGAAGTATTAACATCACCACCACTACTGGTGTTGCTACAGCTATACAGGTGCTGGCCAGTAAATTAGAATATCATCAAAAGGTTGAAAATATTTCAGTAATTCCATTCAAAACGTGAAACTTGTACATTATATTCATGCAATGCACACAGACCAATGTATTTCCAATGTTTATTACGTTTAATTTTGATATTTATAGGTGACAACCAATGAAAACATCAAATCTGGTATCTCAGAAAATTAGAATATTCTAAAGGCCAATGAAAAAATGTTTGTTTCTCTAATGTTGGCCAACTGAAAAGAATGAACATGAAAAGAATGTGCATGTATAGCACTCAATACTTAGTCGGGGCTCCTTTTGCCTCAATAACTGCAGTAATGCGGCGTGGCATGGACTCGATCAGTCTGTGGCACTACTCAGGTGTTATGAGAGCCCAGGTTGCTCTGATAGTCGTCTTCAGCTCCTCTGCATTGTTGGGTCTAGCGTATTGCATCCTCCGCTTCACAATACCCCATAGATTTTCTATGGGGTTAAGGTCAGGCGAGTTTGCTGGCCAATCAAGGACAGGGATACCATGGTCCTTGAACCAGGTGCTGGTGGTTTTGGCACTGTGTGCAGGTGCCAAGTCCTGTTGAAAGGTGAAGTCTGCATCCCCATAAAGTTGGTCAGCAGCAGGAAGCATGAAGTGCTCTAAAACTTCCTGGTAGACGGCTGCATTGACCCTGGACCTCAGGAAACAGAGTGGGCCAACACCGGCAGATGACATGGCACCCCACACCATCACTGACGGTGGAAACTTTACACTGGACCTCATGCAACGTGGATTCTGTGCTTCTCCGCTCTTCCTCCAGACTCTGGGTCCTTGATTTCCAAAGGAAATGCAGAACTTGCTTTCATCAGAAAACATAACTTTGGACCACTCAGCATCAGTCCAGTCCTTTTTGTCCTTGGCCCAGGCGAGACGCTTCTTGCGCTGTTTCTTGTTCAAGAGTGGCTTGACACACGGAATGCGACACCTGAATCCCATGTCTTTCATGAGTCTCCTCGTGGTGGTTCTTGAAGCGCTGACTCCAGCTGCAGTCCACTCTTTGTGGATCTCCCCCACATTTTTGAATGGGTTTGTCGTCACAATTCTCTGCAGGGTGCGGTTATCCCTAGAGCTTGTACACTTTTTTCTACCACATTTTTTCCGTCCCTTCGCCTGTCTGTTAATGTGCTTGGACACAGAGCTCTGCGAACAGCCAGCTTCTTTAGCAATCACCTTTTGTGTCTTGCCCTCCTTGTGCAAGGTGTCAATGATTGTCTTTTGGACAGCTGTTAAGTCAGAAGTCTTCCCCATGATTGTGGTGCCTTCAAAACAAGACTGAGGGACCTTTTAAAGGCCTTTGCAGGTGTTTTGAGTAAATCAGCTGATTAGAGTGGCAGCAGGTGTCTTCTATATTCAGCCTTTTCAGAATATTCTAATTTTTTGAGATACCAAATTTGGAGTTTTCATTAGTTGTCACTTATGAATATCAAATTTAAATGTAATGAACATTGGAAATACATTGGTCTGTGTGCATTGCATGAATATAATGTACAAGTTTCACGTTTTGAATGGAATTACTGAAATATTTTCAACCTTTTGATGATATTCTAATTTACTGGCCAGCACCTGTAAATACAAGTAGCTCTGTTGGTGTTAGCAGCCAGCAAGAGGTAAACTTACGGAGGCGACTGTTTGTTCTTCCTCTTAAGATACTCGTGCATCGCTGATGTGCTCCTGTGAAAGGAGAGTTTCACTTTGCAGAGTTTGCTCTCTACGGGCCTTTCTTTTGAATTTGTATAATCCTACCAAACCTTTCAGCTACGTTGCGACTCGTCACTTTCTGCTGTGATGAAAGCTGACCTGGATGGCCACCACTGCCCATGCGCCTCGGAGCTAAAGCGGCGGCTGAGCAGAAAGCCAGGAAGCAGACACCGAACGTGCCGCAGCAGGCCAGATTTTAAAATGTTTATAAAATAAGATCTGTCTTATTTGCTGGCGGTTTCGTAACGAGTCGACTAATCGTGGAAGCCCAAGACATCTGGCCTCCCCACTCTCGGTTTTGGCTTGAGAGGGGAGGGCCTGGTGACATAGTGTGCCCGAGTCTGTGGTTTTGATTGGTTAGAAGTAAGCAGTGAGTCTAGTATGCTGCTACGTGATAGGTTAGAATGAGAACAGTAAACTTTTTTTATCGAAGTTTTATCGACCCGTGTTTTTTATCTATCGCACCACATGTGATCGATATATTGAAACATCGTCCAGCCCTAGTCTAGACTATCTTTTCACTTAACATACAGGATGGCTTGGCAGGCTAGCGTTGTAGCTTTATTTGAAGAAAATGGTGAATTGAACTGAGATAACAATTTCTGCTAGAAAAATCTCAATTCAATCTTTTCCTAAAATCGTTCAGCCCTGATGGTTATTATGTCTGGTTAAAAGATCTGAAGAAAAGGAACATGTACTTACCATGGACAGAAAGAATCACCAGTGTTTGTCATGCAGATGGTGGACCAAGCTGTAATACGGCTTCTGCCTCAAGGCTCACAGTGTCTGTTGTCAGTCATTGTGTATTTTTCCTGGTCTGAGGAACATGTTAATGTATCTCTGCTCACTATTATGATGCTAAATGGAGATTTTAAGAGTGGGTCAAATGTAAAATTGCTGTGGTGAAGCCTTGTTCATACAGGGAGTGCAGAATTATTAGGCAAGTTGTATTTTTGAGGAATAATTTTATTTTTGAACAACAACCATGTTCTCAATGAACCCAAACAACTCATTAATATCAAAGCTGAATGTTTTTGGAAGTAGTTTTTAGTTTGTTTTTAGTTTTAGCTATTTTAGGGGATATCTGTGTGTGCAGGTGACCATTACTGTGCATAATTATGAGGCAACTTAACAAAAAAGAAATATATACACATTTCAATTATTTATTTTTACCAGTGAAACCAATATAACATCTCCACATTCCCAAATATACATTTCTGACATTCAAAAACAATACAAAAACAAATCAGCGACCAATATAGCCACCTTTGTTTGCAAGGACACTCAAAAGCCTGCCATCCATGGATTCTGTCAGTGTTTTGATGTGTTCACCATCAACATTGCGTGCAGCAGCAACCACAGCCTCCCAGACACTGTTCAGAGAGGTGTACTGTTTTACCTCCTTGTAAATCTCACATTTGATGATGGACCACAGGTTCTCAATGGGGTTCAGATCAGGTGAACAAGGAGGCCATGTCATTAATTTTTCTTCTTTTATACCCTTTCTTGCCAGCCACACTGTGGAGTACTTGGACGCGTGTGATGGAGCATTGTCCTGCATAAAATCATGTTTTTCTTGAAGGATGCAAACTTCTTCCTGTACCACTGCTTGAAGAAAGTGTCTTCCAGAAACTGGCAGTAGGACTGGGAGTTGAGCTTGACTCCATCCTCAACCCGAAAAGGCCCCACAAACTCATCTTTGATGATATCAGCCCAAACCAGTTCTCCACCTCCACCTTGCTGGCGTCTTGAGTTGGACTGGAGCTCTCTGCCCTTTACCAATCCAGCCACGGGCCCATCCATCTGGCCCATTAAGACTCACTCTCATTTCAACAGTCCATAAAACCTTAGAAAAATCAGTCTTGAGATATTTCTTGGCCCAGTCTTGACGTTTCAGCTTGTGTGTCTTGTTCAGTGGTGGTCGTCTTTCAGCCTTTCTTACCTTGGCCATGTCTCTGAGTATTGCACACCTTGTGCTTTTGGGCACTCCAGTGATGTTGCAGCTCTGAAATATGGCCAAACTGGTGGCAAGTGGCATCTTGGCAGCTGCACGCTTGACGATTGACACTTTTGACCCATTTTACCAAAGGAAAGGAAGTTTCCTAATAATTATGCACACCTGATATAGGGTGTTGATGTCATTAGACCACACCCCTTCTCATTACAGAGATGCACATCACCTAACATGCTTAATTGGTAGTAGGCTTTCGAGCCTATACAGCTTGGAGTAAGACAACATGCATGAAGAGGATGATGTGGACAAAATACTCATTTGCCTAATAATTCTGCACTCCCTGTATGAATATGGAATGTCAGCATGTTCCATCTACACTAGAGCCACAGTAAAGCACAACAGGCCATAAGACACAATATTCTCTGGTGTTTGTTCTTCTTCATGCAGACAGCATAGACCCATCTGTGGCTCAGGCCACAGAGCCCTTTCAGCTGCCAGGTCCTCCACACAAACCCATCGTCACAGATGTGTCAAAGAACAGCATTTCTCTAACGTGGCAACCCAATGCTCATGAAGGAGGAGCTGCTGTCACCTCCTACATCATTGAGGCCTTCAGGTGAGTCACAAAGAACAAAGCTTCATACCTCCAAAGTCACACCTGAGTTTTTGTTCTGAAGTCAAGAGGACTTCTAATGCTCAGAAACTAACTTCAGCTGTCAACTGAACAGTTCAGTGCTGACTACAACTTAGTCCAACCGATGAAAGTAGAACACATACGTAGAACCCAGCAGAAGGAACAAGAACCCAGCAGAAGGAACACTTAAGGTTTTAGAGGTAAGGTCGTGTGGATATGAGTCATTTTAGCTCAGAATGATGGGATGTCCCCATCACCAGCTATTAACATTTTTGTCTCCACCACTTTTAAAAGCCATCTTACCAGCAAAGATCCAAGATCCACTTGTGCTTCCAGCACTTTCTGTCAAATCCAAATTAAAATCACTCTGTCTCACTGCCTCCTACAGCCATTGCACCATGCTGTAGTCTTCTATTATTCAGCTACTATTGAAATAACGAGTTCATGTCCTCTTTAAGATGGCAGAGTCAGCATGTCTGAAACAGAAAAGAGGACACAACAGTTTCTCCGCATGATATCTTCTGAATGGACGAATCAAAATAATTCCAACGGTTTCTAAAAGCACATAAAACTAGCTTTCCAACGAGGTATTAGACGATGTAATTCATGATATTCCAAAAATCGCTATTAGAGGGAAACAGCTTTTCAGCATCACAGGAAACGGACCGAACCACGACGGGAGAGCGGAGAACCTCACGGAGGAGATCACCGATCATCTGCATCAGCAGCTTTTATAAAGTTATGTAGATGTCACACAGAAAATCCACCTTAATCAGGTGTCCCCGAAGTTTCTGGTGACATGAGGGACTGATTACTGTCAAACTTGTTTTTATTTGAACACTCAGCTATTTGCTAAATGTAAGATTCAGCTTCATTCCAGCATTATTTATACGTACAATAAATATTTATTTAGCTGAAAATATAATTTTATATCCGTGCAGTTAGTAGACTTTTTGTCATGAAATGTTTAGATTTCACCTTTTATTATTACTTTTTATCTGGCTTATCAATAATTGTAATGCTGGTAGAAGTTTCCATAGTGATATGTGAGAGTTATTTTATGTTACCTAATATTTATTTTACTTCATGCCTTTCTCTGAACCAGAGCACAGACCTACCTGTGGTCACAGACAGGGCTGCAGTCAGAAAAACTGATGAGGCAGGGGTCACACAGTTTTCTGACTGTTGTTCAGAGTTTAAACTGTTCATTTGAAATACTTTGACCAAGTCCTTTTCAGGTTCCTATTTAATAATAAATGTAAAAAATTCAAATCTGTTTATTTTTTTTTCATTTAAGCTGCAGTTTTACAGCCTTTGATAAACATAAATACTAAATACAAACCAGACACTGGTTTGTCTCAGTCAGGTCATACCAAAGACTTTAAAAATGGGTCCTAAGGCCTCCCTGCTTGACACTCAGCTTTAAGGGGTTGGATTGGGGGTAAAACCACCAAATAGTTCCCAAGCACAGCCATTGCTGCATCTCACCACTCCCCTCCAATGAGATCACCAGTAAGTGATGATGACTATGGGACTTTTTCCATTTTTTTTTCTTCTTTTTTAATGCATTGCATTAAAACAGGACTCAGTATTGGAAGATAATCAAAAATCAAACAACTTGGATTCAGGTCAGGGGCAAAAATATGGTTGTAACATAAGTCAGCTTTAAAAACTAAAACAATTGCTTATGAAATAACGTTACCTTAATTAATGACATACCTAGTTTACATTATGTTGTTTGAAACCAAGGGTCTCCTTATCTGAAAATTTTTAACTTGTTAGATCGTGAATCTGTTTAAAAACTTTGCTCTATATGTGCCCCTTTTTTTACTTTGTTCACCCGCCCCTTCAAAGGTCTCTGCACAGCGCTGTTCTAGGCACTGACAGAGTGAGTCCAGTGGACGACAGTCACTAGGTGATAGGGCTAGGTAGATCTGGGTGTCATCAGCATAGCTATGATAGGCGATGTCTTTATTAAGTTTGACCTGACCCAGGGGGAGAATATAGAGATTAAAGAGTAGCGGTCCTAGATTTGAGCCCTTAGGGGACCCCACATGTCATGGTGATCCGCTTTGATTGGTAGTCCCTAATAGAGACAACATAGCGCCTGTCTTTGAGATAGGATTGGAACCAGCCAAGCACTGTGCCTGATAGTCCCACCCAGTTTGTGAGTCTGTCCAGAAGGATGTTATGGTCCACAGTATCAAAAGCATCATCAGGACAGATGCTTTACCTGAATCAGTGTTGAGACGAATGTGGTTTAATACCTTGGTCAGTGCAGTCTCTGTGCTGCGGTGCTGTCTAAAGCCTGACTGAAGACCGTCCATAATGTTATTTGACTCTAAATAGTTGTTAATTTGGATCATTACCTCCTTTTCAATGATGTTTCCATCAGAGGGAGATTAGAGATGGGTCGGTAGTTGTTCAACACTGAGGGATCTAGTTTCCTCTTCTTTAGAAGGGTTTCACAGCAGCAGTTTTCAGTGGTTTAGGAATAATACCTGATGTTAAAGAGCAGTTAACAGTTTCCAGTACATCAGCTTTCAGGCAGCTAAAAACAGTTTTAAAGAAGTTTGTAGGCAGGCTGTCCAGACAGCAAGTAGAGGAATTTAGGGTCTTTACTGTGTCATTCAGTGTTTTAGTACTAATCAGGGTTAAAGTTGGCATTCTGGCCAGGTTGTTGCTGTGTGGCTGTGTCAGTGGTCTGCTTGTGTTAGTTGATGTAGAGGAATGAATGGCCAATCTAATGTTTGTGATTATTTTATTGAAGAACGATGCAAACTCATCACATCTGGTATGAGATATGAAGTCCGGGGCTAACTGTGCTGGGAGATTAGTTAGCCTCTCAACAGTAGCACACAGAACATGGGAATTGTTAATATCATCATTGATGACTTTATAGGAAAATGCTTGTCTCTCCTGTTTTATCTCCGTGTTATAAGTACACAGCTGCATTTTGAAGGTCTGATTGTGATCTGGTAGATTACTTTTCCTGAATCGGCGCTCTGCTTTTTTGCATTCTCGTTTTTGATTAGTAACAGATTTTGTAAACCTCCAAGGAGCTTTCTGTTTGCCTGAAATGAGTTTAACCTTTTCAGGTGCGATGGCGTCAAGGACTTCAAGTGTTTTGAAGTTAAAGCTGGCTAAGAGTGAATCAACACAGCTGGATGTTGGACGTGTTGATGAGTTCATCTGTTAGGTAAAAGCTGAAGCAGTGTGGTCACCTATGTACAGTATTTTCCGGACTATAAGCCACTACTTTTTTCCCACGCTTTGAACCATGCGGCTCATAATGAGGTGCGGCTTTACTGAAGATTTTCCTTCACCTGCCAGGGGGCGCTTTAGCAGAAAGTGAGACAGGTGGGAGTCAAAAGTGGAAATCGAAGAAAGTGCTCATTTTAATTTAGCACATTCAAGCAGCCGGCACGACGATGAATTTTTTTCAAGTCCATACCCCCTCATCATGTTAACTACATGTATGAGTTCATATGTTGCCGCATTTAAGTTGAAGGCCATCGATCTGGCAGTAAAGGAGGGAAACAGAGCTGCTGCACGTAAGCTTGGCATGAATGAATCCATGGTTCGGCGCTGGAGACGGCAGCAGGAAGAACTCATTCAAGCCAGCTTCACCCGAGGATGATGACAGGAGAGAAAGAATACATTGTTGAAAATCTCCTGAGGAGAAGGATGGAAGTGCGATGTTATAGGAGAGTTGACGTCGGAACATGTCAGCAGCAAAGCACGTAGGGAGAGAGGTGAGTGTAGGTGGAAGTCGGAGAAAAATGTTGTAGACCCCTCAGTCAAATTAAAGAACGGTCCCAGTAATTTAAGAGGTAAGAAACAGTGAGCTAAAAAGAAGATAATGGAAAGGAATGGCGGCAGGCTGGAGCTGGGAGTAACACGTCTGTACTTTCCAGCAGTTGGCAGTAGAAAAGTGTCCCATGTGGGTCCCATGTGGACTAAAATCGAATGGTGGTTATAGTGCCATTTGAAAAACAAGATGAACATCAGTAAAAAGTATATTGGGCTGAGTTCAGATGATCCAGCCAGGCAGCAACAGCTGACTACCAAAGCAGGGGGACCCCACGGAGGAACCCTGTCGCTTTCACTATTGTTGATAAGGATACGATTTCCAATATCTGCCGACACACTGCAGTGCATTTTGTTATGAGTGGTCAAACAGATCAATACTTATGTATGAATAATTAATAATTGTCCCCAGAACAGCAGCAGGAGTCAGGAGGTAGAGCGGGTTGTCCAGTAGTTAGAGGGTTGTAGGATTAATCCCGGCACCCGGCAGAGAATGCCGCTGTTGTGTCCTTGGGCAAGACACTTACCTCGCCTTACCTGCTGGTGGTGGTCGGAGAGACCGGTGGCGCCCATACTCGACAGCCTCACCTCTGTCAGTGTGCCCCAAGGCAGCTGTGGCTACATCGTAGCTCTTTTTTTTTTTGCCAAGATGGCAGCCCTACCAGTCTACTGTTTGGTCCCTGACTGTTATAAGTTTTTGTGTTTGTGTGCTCTTAGAGTTAGTATTTTCCTTCCATTTTTTTTAACATTTGCAATATTTTTTGAGACGTTTTTGACTCATGGGTTTGGAGCAGAAGAAGATGGGCTTGGCCATGCCTGTTGCTGAGCGAAGGATACCTGTCCAGGTGATGGCGGTTGGTACTCCTCATCCATTTTATCACTATTCACTGTAAAGTCACATGAAAAAAAAACATGATGTAAAAATTATATATGTACATAATGTTTACATTATAATTTATGTACATATATATATATATATATATATATATATATATATATATATATATATATATATATATATAATTTGGTAAATTATTCAGTAATCTTACACAACATCAAAGTTTAGATTGTAAATGTATACTCATTAATAATAATAATACAGAGAAAAAAAGACTTGTCCTGCGATGCATCACCACATGGCTCAGGGGCAGTTTTGTCACATCGACCGCCTGATGGCACTGACAGGCCGATTGGGTACATGTCCCGATCATTGTCACCAGCAGAATGTGGCTATTCATAGTTGGAAAAAGAAGCTCTGGCTATTATTTTTGGATTAAATAAATTCCACCAATATCTGTCTGGAAAACATTGCACCATAGTGACAGACCACAAACCCCTTTTGGGATTGATGGGGGAGACCAAAGATGTTCCACACATGGTGGCAGCACGAGTACAGAGGTGGGCATTAATCCTGGCAGCATATCGATATACACTGCGGTATAAAGATGGCTCAAAAAATGGAAATGCAGATGCACTGAGCCGACTGCCATTACCAACCAAACCTACTCACGAAAAACAGGAGAGTGAAGTAGTGTTGCTCAGGAACACATAAATGGCACACTGCTGCAAATCAGAGATTGGACTCGCAAAAACCCAGTACTGTCAAGAGTACAACAGTGGCTGCAGCAAGGCTTTAGTCCTGAGGAAAGCACTGAACCACTTCTGCAGCCATATGTGATGTTTTCAAGAACTGAACAGATGGATACATCCTGTGGGCTATAGTGATAATACCTCCCCAAGGAAAACACAAAAATGATTGAAGAACTACACGAAGCACACCCAGGAGCATCCAGAATGAAAACATTAGCTCGAAGCTATGTGTGGTGGCCGAACATGGACGCTGATTTGGAGGCAGCAGTATGTAAATGCCATAAATGTCAAGCAAAGCAAACCAATCCAGCGGCTACTCCGTTACATCCATGTGAGTGGCCATGTCAACCATGGATGAGGGTGCATGTGGATTTCTGTGGACCAGTGTTGGGGAAGATGTTCCTGATCATAGCAGACGCATATTCAAAATGGATTGAGGCTCATCCAATGACGAATACTACTTCATCCATGACTGTGGAAAAACTGAGGGGAATATTTGCCATTCATGGTATCCCAGCCATCCTGTTCAGCAATAATGGGCCCAAATTGGGCAGTGCAGAATTTGAAAACTTCCTGAAACAGAATGGCATAAAACACATAACAACAGCACCATACCACCAAAATAAACTTTATTTTCTAGACTAATTATAATACATGGAAAGCTATGAATGATGATGTGTGATGGATGTACGTGTGTTGATGGAATGTGAATTAGATGTTTATCAGAACCTTTGTATCTGAAAGAAACGGAGAGTTCTGGGTGTAAACGAATTTGTGGTCTGCTGTAAACTAGAGAGTTGGTTATTAATAAAACTACATCAGATGCAATCTGTTGGGTCTGCGAACCCTGATCGGGGACCCCCAGCAGATCCGGAATGTCAGGACGTCTTGGTGGACCTCAAGGCACCGAGGTTCGCAGAATGACCGCAGTATGACCAGTTCTGGTCTAGAGTTTTCTCTGGGTCACAACAGGCAGGAAGGCTCGTTGCGTCAAAGACGGATGTCTGAGAGTTGCAGTAGCTCTGGAAGGAGCTGTTGTGTCTGTAATCACTTGCAGCTTCGTGGCAATGTTTTGACTTAAAGGAGGGTCAAAGGAGGTTGTTCCAAAAAGGCTTCTTTTCTGATTTGGCCAAATCGAGGAGTCAGCTGGAAACTGAGTTGATCAGGAAGTAAATTCTGTTTTATTACCACCGTGTTATGATTCTGGCAAATCAGAATCTGACATGTTTGTAAGTTTACCAAACATCCCTCAGAAACCACACCTTCACCAGATACAAGAATGTTCTACTTCTGTGGATAAAGAATCTTTATGTGCAGGGACGTTAACGTTAAACTTGTGTCAAATGTGTATGAGAGTATGGTTGATTAACTTGTCACGTCAAGTAAACTGATAATAAGATAAATGGATCATTTGCAAGAACAATATTCATTTCAGCCTAATAGATGTAGCACAGATTATTCAAATATTTCATTTAAACACATTGTTCATTCATCGTTCATTCTTCTTTATTTTAACAGTTCTCTTTCATTCTGTGAGAAATCCAGCAGTCTGAGATATGAGGAAAGCTATTGTCCGAAGATCTTGGGGATAAAACACTTTGTTGACAATTTCGTGTCCTGGAATGTCAACGAGCACTGTAGAATCCTTCTTGGTTCAGAAGATTGGAAAACACACATAAATAGATGTATTCCTGTGGATTAAAGGGTCACCACGTAGGGCAAAATATAGATGGAAATTGACCCTTTCTGGACGTTACAACTGGAAAGGGAACCAATTCAGCTTTGTACAAAACAAACAACAATAAACGAATAAAAGAAAACAGGAAGAAAGAATGAATAAAAGAGTTAGCCAAATTAATGAGAAAAAAATCTAATTTAAAAATGGCGACCATGCTTGTCATCCTCTAAACTACCTCACCATGCATTTAGCTTCATCAGTTATGGTGTGGACATGAGTCACCAGGGAGCTGCAGGTAATGTAGAAGTTAGCCACATGTGCTCTAGGCCAGTTTAAAATCACATTCTTGAAAACAGAACCACCTGTTGCCATATACAAAATAAATCATAATCAATAAATACTTATTAAAATATATTTTATTAGTTTTGATTAATTAGGTGTTGAAATAATTCAATGCAAGTAACTTGTGGCTATCAGCCTGTTTAAGCACACATAAGGTAAGCTACTGCAACCTTTGAGTTTTACTGTGTAATATTAAAATACACGAGACTTAGGATACTTCAAGATGTTTCCAGCCAGGAAATGGGGACATCACAGTGTGGAGATCAACAGAGTTGCCAAAGTCTGAAAAAATGCCGAGCATGTGGTACAAGGTTGGCAGGTCTGAACGTGTGACACAGCCAAATGGGCGGTTCCAAGATTGGCCCCCACAGAAAGCTATGGGTGGGGTTTGTCCATCTTATTTTAAAGTGTTTGGTCTAAAATGTCAAGCTAAAAGGAATACTGAGAATAGAATTAGGTGAGAAGCATTAACGAAAAGAGACAAGTAGAAATATTACACACTGTATTTGTTTTACCGGGAAGTCCCGTGAGACAACATTTCTTTTTCAAAGGAGACCTTGACAAGAGGCACCCTGGTGTTCATAATAATTAAGGTTGGGGTTTCTCCACTGAGGTTGGAGCTGATTTAATGTTCACCATAATATCAGAAACCTTGATCTTCTCACAGCCAATCAGCGGGCAGTACATGGCAGACGGTTGCTGAAAAGGTGAAGATGGAAACATACACCATCACGGGTCTCCTCCCCAACACGGTCTACCTGTTCATTGTTAGAGCTGTGAACACCTATGGACTCAGTGACCCTAGTCCCATCTCTGAGCCAGTCAGAACACAGGGTTAGTCTGCGCACGCACACGCACACACACACACACACACACACACACACACACACACACACACACACACACACACACACACACACACACACATACCATCTGCAGCAAAACCAGCTGACAGTGACGGTGTGTCTGTCAGATGTGAGTCCTCCAGGCCAAGGAGTGGATCACAGACAGGTCCAGAGGGAGCTCAGGGATGTGGTGGTTCTGCTCCAGGATCCAGTTGTGCTAACATCAGCCTTTATCCAGGTGTCCTGGACTGTGAGTGGTTTAGCCCCACATCTTATTCAAAATACCACATCCTGATTTATTTCCTGCTTTATCTGACGTCCAATCTCCTGTCCTTTAGGTGGACCGCCAGTCTCCATATGTCCAGGGCTACCGCCTGTTTTACCGGCCCAGCGGAGGTACCTGGCTCCTTCAGGACATCAATTCTCCAAGCGAACGCAGCAGCATCCTCACTAGCCTCCGTAGAGGAACCGAGTATGAGCTAAAGATATGTCCATATTTTGATGAGTTCCAAGGCAGGGACAGCCACACCCTATTGGTTCGAATCCCAGAAGAAGGTAGTGTGTGTGTGTGTGTGTGTGTGTGTGTGTGTGTTTGTGTGTGTGTGTGTGTGTGTGTGTGTGTGTGTGTGTGTGTGTGTGTGTGTGTGTGTGTGTGTGTGTGTGTGTGTGTGTGTGTGTGTGTGTGTGTGTGTGTGAGGAGAGATGCAGCTTCAGTCAGAGGCGATGTTGACTTCTTATCCAGAATGATAATGAATGGAGTGTGCAGGAATCTCCCGCTGCTTGATTATATCAACCAATTAGAGGCTCCCTCTAAAGGTAGGCGTGTACGTGAGCCAGCCCATCAGTTGGTAGTGGGTGTGGTGGACCTGTTCAGCCTGAAGCAGACCTCCGAGCGTGGACAAACACAAGGCTACGTAGATATGAACACTACCCGGTCCGTGCTTGCCCAGATCTGAAGCTGCATATGAAACTACCGCTGGTCCAAGCAGCTCCTTTTCTCTTTTTTGTTCTTTTAGTCGTTTTTGGGTGCACACTAACCATTCTACATCTTTTCAGTTATTTGTGACCCACCAAAGAGAGTTACTGTGACAACACTGAAGCAAAGCAACAACTCCAGCATAAATGTGTCCTGGGAAGCCCCGCCCACCCAAATGCAGAATGGCACTATTACGGAGTACAGGGTAAAGTCACACATTCACACACAGCAACAGCAGGTTCTAGTAACAGAGGTAGTTTATTTCTAGTGTTAGTGATCTGTTAACGCTTCAGGCACAGCTGCAGCAACACCAGGCAGATTCTTAACTACATGAATGTCTTGGTCTCCACCTCAACAGGTCTGGTGTTTTAGCAGTGGCAGTGACAACCACATGCACTATTACATAAACAGAACAGTGGGCAGTACCACCCTGTCCACCGTGCTTACTGGTCTGATGCCCAACATACTCTACCAAGTGGAAGTGGCAGCCGTGACGATCGCTGGTGTTGGCACCCGGAGTCCACCAGTATCTGTCCTCATCGGTGAGTCCAGAAAGACAGGACATATGGGCCAATAGACTGAGACGTGTGGAGTGGGTTGGTAGATAACTGCAACCTGTAACTGAGTGAAATCTTGTCCTGGTGCAAAAACTGAGCGTTACCTCTTCTTTCCACCGGTGTGGTGAAACAACACAACAGTTAGCCACCATCACACTGGACACGTGCCTTTCCCTGGTGGTGAAGTGTAACATTTTGGACGTGTCCCAGAAGCTAAGCGACACCATCATTACATTTAAAGTCTGGAAGTTTGGCCAGACAGGAACTCAAACACAAAAGTAGTGTCACAACATCTGAAAACTTTCAAAATAATAGGCACGTGATAGTAAAAATACGCTTTTGTCATTTCCTGTGAAACCCCTGTAGACGATGTAAACAAACCACAGCCTTTCTCCTTGCTTGTTGTTGTGTGGACTTGTGAAATTATGCGTGGTGTTGCAACTCTCCCGGGATTTTGTGGGACCAGCAACGTGAAACGCTTTCGCTCCTGTTTCGTATCTGAGACGCTCTCAGTTGGACGGGATCTTGTGGGTAAGACACCTCTATTGTGTTAAGCATCCCTTGCACTTCTGGTGGAAAGAAGGGGTTACGGCATGTCTGGGAGCAGTCAAAGCACCACATGAAGGTGCTCTATCTTCCATTCATCCATCCATCCATTTTCATCCGCTTATCTGGAGTCGGGTTGCGGGGTCTACCTTTAGGTCTCCTCCTGGTTGGATGTGCCCGGAAAACCTCACCAGGGAGGCGTCCAGGAGGCATCCTGACTAGATGCCCAAGCCACCTCAACTGGCTCCTCTCGATGTGGAGGAGCCGCGGGTCTACTCCAAGCCCCTCCCGAATGACCAAGCTTCTCACCCTATCTCTAAGGGAGAGCCCAGCCACTCTGCAGAGAAAACTCTCTCTCTCGTTCTTTCGGTCACTACCCAAAGCTCATGACCATAGGTGAGGGTAGGAACGTAGATCGACCGGTAAATCAAGAGCTTTGCCTTCTGACTCAGCTCTCTCTTCACCACGACAGACCGGTACAATGACCGCATCACTGCAGACGCAGCACCAATCCGCCTATCGATCTCACGCTCCAGTTTTCCCTCACTCGTGAACAAGACCCCGAGATACTTAAACTCCTCCACTTGGGGCAGGACCTCATCCCTGACCCGGAGAAGGCATTCTACCCTTTTCTGAATCAAGACCATGGTCTCAGATTTAGAGGAGCTGATTCCATCTTCCACAAACACCGATACAGCCACAGAGACAGGGTTTCTGATTTGTGTCTGCACACGGCTTTGTTTAGATTTTTGTTTTATAATCTTTGTCTACATGAGAAATTAAGAAGAAAGTATATATACAACATTACTAGCCTGGCCTGGCAGGCTCATACTCTGTCTTATCAGAGAAAGAATCTAGTAACTCACAGGCAGAGGCACATGAGGGGCGGGACTTGGCAGCTCAAAAATAACCAATCAGAAAAAAGGAGGAAATGCTGACTGTACATCACAACGCTGTAGTTTTTTAGCTGTAGTAAAAATCAGTGTCTGGCGACAGCGTAAACGCCTTTTTCTTTTAGAGGAAAGGCTTTTAGTGCTTCTACTTGTTGTGGTTTTAAAGACGTGTCCAAGTCATTTAGAACTGAGGAAAGAGCCGCAGTGAACTCTGCTTCAGACGCCATGTTTATGAGAAGCTCAGCGTCGTGGTGTGTGATGTACGCTGCTCAGCGCTGATTGGCTGAGTTAGAGTTCTCAGAGGGCGGGGGATATTGAATAGGAGCGGTCAGGCTTTGAGGAGGTTTTCAGGGTGGAGTAGAACCAAAACAATTTCCCCAACTAAATATTAGTCCACTTAGCGAGTACACCCCTCACAGTTTTGCTAATGTTTTATTAGATCTTTTGAAGGGACAACACTGCAGACATCAAACTCTGATGGAATCAGTGTACAGCTTATATACTTGTCCCTTCAAAATACCTCCACACACAATGTCTGTGTGCTTACACCAAAAGTGAGTACACCCCTGACACATCAGTCTAACTCTTCAGTTAACTGAATGAATGAGTGCTACTGGGTGTGGCCAGAAGGGCTTAAGCCGGGTGGACACTGTGCGACTTTTTCACTTTTTTGAGCCGATTTTCCACTCGTGCGAGAATCCACAAGACCAGGGCGAGTTTTGCGCTGAGCGTCGTGTAGTGTACAGGGGGTTACGAGAGGCGATTAACATCACGTGACCAGCTACCGATCAGAAATCGTGAGCTTTCACGGTCTTCTGGCGTGTTTGATATTTTGCTCATCCCTCGTGAGGATATCTCACTGTTGAATCGGCGCTGCGAGCGGCTGCGACCCAAAAGGTACCAGAACCGCTCACGGCGCATGCGCAATCATGCATCAACACCGCGCGCCCGCTATTTCCCTAAAAACACACGTTGTTCGTTTTTATTTCTACACATTTTTTACTCACAAAGATTGTCAAGAAAGCATGTTTGTCGTGTTCATGTCAAATTAAACTGATCACAAAACACAGATTTACTTTCTTTATTTTGTTTTCCTCATCCAACCCCCATAAATCCCTGTGTGTCTTCCTGCAGCACTCCCGAAGGACAACAGGCAAAACAGCATAAAAAAGTCGGACGTGTTGTGTAAAAACTGCTATTTTTAGCATATTTTTAGGTCCGATGTGTTGCTACCAGACGTACAGTGTGAGCAGTCAGATCGCATCCGAGAACTGGGTCGTACAGTGTGAGCACATGACTCGTGAGATCTGCCCTGCGAGGAAGTCGTACAGTTTGAGCTGAAGCTGAACGCTACGAGTGAAAAAGTCGCACAGTGTCCACCCAGCTTAAAGCCTGTGTGACACCCGTCCTTAAGCAGAGGATGGGTGTTTTCTCCATGCCAGTGGCATCATCTTCACCAAACCTGTATCAACTCATCAGCTGGAGCAATCTGCACCTGAAAGAAACAGCTTATGGCCACAGTACTAACACTGAGCTCAGTCCAAAGCATCCAGATGTCCATTTTATGTCTTATTTTTAGAAGCAAACATTACAATTTTAGTCTTGAAGAAATGTGCGTCAACACACATTGCATAAAAAACATCTCATGTTGGGTTGTGTTTCGTAGAGGTGCCATCAGAACAGCCACCTTCTCCTGGAGATGAAGGGACCAGTGATCACACCGAAGAGAGCAGCGTGAGTTTGGCTGAGCAAATCACTGACGTGGTCAAGCAGCCGGCCTTCATCGCAGGCATCGGTGGGGCCTGCTGGGTCATCCTCATGAGCTTCAGTGTGTGGATCTACTGTCGCCACAAGAAGAGAAAAGAGATTAGCCACTACACCACCTCCTTTGCCTACACACCAGCAGGTCAGGAAGGACGTGTCACAGCTGTGATTGTGCAAGAATAGTGTTGAATGTTTTTGGAGGCTACTGAGGCTCTCAGCTGTCTTACAGGAGAAACTTTCTTTGCAGGAGCAATCCAGATTGTTGACCACATTTAAAGGGGCTTTACGGAGTTTTGAATTTTTATGCTCGCGATTGCCCCCTCAGGCCAAAAGCGTAATGGCAGCTTCAATAGGAGGCTCGTGCTCGAGGCGCGCATGCTGTACGTGCACACTCCTTAACGAAAATAACAGCTGAGACAGTCCCTTGTGTGTGTGTGTGTGTGTGTGTGTGTGTGTGTGTGTGTGTGTGTGTGTGTGTGTGTGTGTGTGTGTGTGTGTGTGTGTGTGTGTGTGGTCCGGAGGACAGAGGACAGGAAAACGCGCAGCTAATTCATTAAATAATTTGGTTCTGTACCTTTCTCTTCAGCACAGCCGACAAAGGTTTATGATGGGTCAGTCCTCCTGCATGCTCAGATCATTCCCTTCCCTTGCTTGAAAAATTGTTCCAAAATGAAAGTTGAACCCACATCTTTTTTTTCTGTGAATTCAATGCCGTTCGGCGAGTCTCAAATAAAAATTTGGGCATCTTACTGTAAATAAATATATCATTAATGTAAAAAAGAAACGCTAAAACAACTATGTTCACATCCAGAATCAAACCCGGGTCTCCTGCACAAAAGCCCAAAGTCTTACTAGGCAAGCTAAAGCACCAGTGTTGTCCTTTGTATCTGTAACATTTATATGCTTGATAACAGCTGAAATAACGTTCAAAGAACGGTTCGGAGGGCTATGCCTGAGCGTGAACGTGCATGAAGCAGCCTGCTCGACCCGAGCAGCTCTCTTTTTCTGTGATTTTACAGAAAAACAGGCAATCACAGTAAAAATGCCAGGGCTCATTCTACAGGACCAGGGCATTGCAGGAGAATGTATGAAGAAGACATTTATTATTTCTATACATGTTTTGGCCATCAAACTTCCATAATACCCCTTTAAAAAGTTTTTTGTAGTTATTAGAGCCTAACTGGTGAAAAAGCATCACTATGTTCATGTCTGAAAAAACTGGATGTGAAACAGGTGCTCTTGGACATAGCTAGCTGGTTGTGGGTCACGTCTGTGTAGCCTCCAGAAATGGTCGGTTTTCCACCTACAGTGTGCCCTCTTCAGTATCCGGTCATATGGAAACATGAGTCTTAACTGGTGCCTTTAATCTGCAAGAAAGATACTGTTGCTTGACCAAGGTTTCTCTCCAGCTTTCACTTATCAAAGACTGCTTTGCTTCACAGAAAAAGAAGGATGAACTTTCATAATTAAATCATACAATGAAATAAACAATATGAGTTAACTAATCACATAATGAAATGGACAATATGGTTAAATGAAATGTTTTGATGAATCTGTGCTTAAATTACTGAAGTTGAAATGAATATTATTATTACACTGAAAGATTAATAAGGATGAGATGAAATATATGACCCATATATTTAATCAGCGCACTGACTGGACAAGACACACTCACCATATCTCCATGACGCAGGTTAAAGTTAACGTCACTGCACATAGATATTGAGCACTTACCTTTCTGCCACCGTCGCCTCCTCATCAGCTGCAAACTGCAGGGATGGGCTCCTGCTGCCACTAAACTCAACACCATCACAGGGACACCATCCATCCCATGGCCCTGCCTTCATACTCTGTCTATATAATGTAAATAGAAGTGGTTACCATTGTGGAGTCTAACCCTCACTGAGTCTGACCTAGAGGCAGCTCAGCAGACCAGACTCAGATCCGGACTAGGCTTTGATCTGACCTCTCCTAGTAAAATGCACCGTGTAGTGGTTAGACTCCCTCATGTGACATTTACAGTATGTGTCTCCTTGCAGTTGGATTCTCACATGCAGACGGATCTGGTCTTTGTGGAAGGTGGGTGGTGTGTGTCCTTTCGGATCAGACTTCTTTCTAGTCTTGGTCTTTAATAAAATCTTTATAGTGTGTTTAGGTAATACCACGATATTTTTGTAGGCCTGGTGTTCCCGGTGGCAGCGTTGGCACCTACCCGTGGCTGGCAGACTCCTGGCCCAGTGCCAGTCTGGTCCATAGTGGTAAAGACATCACCAGTGGCTGCTCCTCCAATCTGGAAACAGCTGAGAGATACTACGACGGTAGGAAGGACTCATCTGCGTGCACGAGCTGGAGCCAAACAAATCGACTGTATTAAACCAAACTCTCTCCCCCCTTCAGAGGCTGGTCTGTCAGACTATCTGGGTCAGACAGAGAGATGCAGCACTGGAGGATCCACTGAAGGTCCCATCTACAGCACCATTGATGGCACCAGTGAAGACTTGCAGAGTTTCACATCTATCGCTCCATATGCCACCGCCTCCACTAGGCCCTTCACCACCCAGGCTAATGAGCTGCAGGACAAGCTCTGGACCGCCCATCCGGGTCCCTGTGGTGCTCAGTATGCGCAGCCAGATCGGTGCAGTGGTGAGTCTCTCACAACAGGACGGATTCTGCAAAACAAATCTGTTTCCACATTTTTGTTAGTCTTTTGGATAAAACCATGTCACTGGGTTCTGACCCTGTTGATCCACTGATGTTTTTTGGGACCAGATTTGGGCCTGGATATGATTCAGAGTCTAAATCTGGTCTGGTTTCAGTTCTGGTTTTCGGTCTGACTTTGGTTCAGGGTTCAGTTTTTATTCTAGGTCTGGATTAGGATCAAGGCCATGATCTGGGGTTTGGGCTCGGGTTTGGTTTGGAGGTTGGAATCTGATTTTTGGATTTGGTTCTTTGTCTGGGCCCGGGTTTGGATCCAGGTCTCGTCTGTCTGATGATGATCTGATGGTTTGGTTTTGTTTTGAAGGTAAACCCAGGCAGAAGGCCTTAGGCAAGGCCGTGAAGACCCCCTCTCTGAACTGGATGGAGGCTTTGTCCCCTCCACTTGTTGTAAAAATGGGACCATGTGAGCAAGACTTCCAGCTGCCAGAACACGACAGTGACCCTGGGTGAGACAGACCTTCAGACTCTGTAAAATACACCCTGGGTCATCACCAAGACCCAAGTCTGTAGATCCCTCCAGCTTTCACCTGATGTCAGCAGTCTCAAAGCAGAACGATTGTTCTGGTCTCTTTTAAGACCAACCACATTTTGATATTTGCTGACTAGAATCCAGCTTGACAGAACATTCTTAACATCAGGTCTTCTTTGACTCTGCAGCTCAGACGAAGAGTGGTGCCCCCCCCTGCCTGAGAGGACCTACCTCATGGATGGCTGCGAGGACAACGCCTCTTCCCCTCAAAGAAACAACACCTTGTCTACAACCACAACCTACAGCCACCAGTCAACCACAGTGATCCCCCCCTTGCCCCATGAAGAACCCAGAGCCACGCAGAACCTCCCCGACTTCAGCCAGGTCCAAGGCCAGCAGCTGTCACGGTGTGTTGACATAGTTTCAGTTAATTAACTCATCGTATTCTGACCTGAAACACAAGATTCTGCCGGTAAAATGCTGACTTCCCTTTCCACAGCAGAAGACTGCCCTGCGGTCCAGTATCAGTACCCCAGGTGCTGAGCACTCTCACCCAGTCGACCTCCAACCTCTCTGGCAATCAGGATCATGACGTCAATACCCTGCAGGGGAAAAGTCCAGCCCATTGCTCCGTCCACAACCCAGAACCAGGTCCACCTGAAGACCGTGGTCCTGCAGCTACACTTGGTACAGCACCAGATCCATTCCCTCCTGTCAGTCTACACATACTGGGATGAACAAAGGAATGTACTGGACATTAGGGTGGACCTCACTTAGGACCACTAATGACTGCTTAAGTTTAAGCCTGAATAGTGTCCCCTAGTGAGACCTCTACCTGTCCTGTTATATTTGCTTCATCAGTTCCTCTTTTGAAATTTATCTCGACATCAAGGCCCTATCGACGCATTTAACCCTTAAATGCCTTCCTTGTGATCCAGCAGAGCGGTACAGCCCCTGACCTTTTGAGTGGACAAGCACGGCTCGTGCTCGCAGAGGCCTTACTTTCATAGGGAACCAGACCAGACTGTTGACAGTGCAGGGTTTCCCCCAGCGCTTTATAAGCCTGGCGGCCAGGCTAAGCGTCATGCCCCTTCCCTGACCCTACCGTGTCCGCTGACACGAACAGCGCAACGAAACTAGAGCCCTCTATCAGCTGATACTGGTGAGAAACAGCAGCGGAACGTGAGCAACCCCCACACCCCCACTCTCACAGAGGAGTGCTGTGGGACAGAGCGCGCGACCCCCCATTATTTGTTGTTAACCCATTATTTGTTGTTATGCACATATAGAGTTTGACCAAATCTAAACATTCAACCAGGCCTTTTGTTTCTTTTATACATTTTCTCTGCCTGCTTTTTATTGTGCCATTGTTTCTTTCAACAAGACCAGCAGATTGTGGGAATTTTTCCTCGTCTAGGCACATATTGCCCTGATTTTTAAGGCAATTTTATAAATCGTATGTTGTAAAATTCTTCTAAAATGCTACTGTTACATGTGTACTCTTCCTCCCCCCCTGACGACACGTTATTTACCATGTGTCGTCATGACAATAGTTTTGAAGGGGGGGGGGGGGGAATGCTTTCCCATCTCCAGAATGTTCTCACACCAGGTCCAAAGTGACTTTGAAGTTGTCACATTTTTCCATCGAGTTGTTTCTGATACACAAAGATGCTTTCGCTGTTTTCAGAAGCCGTTTTGTGCATAAGCAGCTTTAGAAACGAGGCTCCTGGTTAGGGCTGGACTAGAAGATGGGGAGCGGGTGGAAATGTCACTTCCTGTCTGAAAGGTTCCTTTCTGCTTCTCAGCATACAGCTGGTCCAGTCCAGCAGAACCAGGAACTCCTCCCAACCAGAAATCCAGAACAAAAAAAAAACTATCCAGGCATCCAGTGTACAGAAGAGACCATCAAGGAGGTGAAGTAAACCACACATCATGCTCATCTTTTCATTTTTCAGTGACGGAAAAAAGTTAAACTGGGTCCACAAAAAATTTATGGGTTTTGAAAGACTCTTTATGAAATTTTCATCTTCTCTTCCCATTGGGGCTCCAGACCTGCCTCCTCCCCCCGAACCTCCACCTGAGGAAGACAGGCTTCGGGGCCCCCAGGCCTGCACGGAGCCCAGAAGTGCCTTGTCATCCCTCGACTGCAGTGAGTTCAGCAGTCCAAGCCACCAGAGAAAAGGCTCAGAACAAATCCACCCTGATGGTAATCAGTAATCTCACTTTGGTCCAGTTTCACTCAGGCGGTTCACTACAGAGTGGATCAGCTGTTTGCTGCTACAACCCTGTGGATTACCTAGAGGTGATGCCTACTCATGGCATGGCCAGTTTAATCCTAATCCAGCCTGTCTGATCATGGAACATGATGTCGGCAAAAAAACAGTAAACAATGAATACAGATTACAGCAAAAACCCTTAATCTCACCTAGAATCATGACCACGTGTGAGGATTGGAACAAACGTAGTTCTGATAAAGGATAGGGTTTAGCCTGAGACTGGCACCGGGGTCTGCCCAGTTCTTCCCCTGCATGCTTTTCTCCCCAGATGAAGACATGATGGTGTTCGGCGCTAAGGCCAGCTGGCGCTCCTAGGGTCCACCAGCTCACAAGGGCTCAGCTCCGCGAGGACACATGAGGTAGACCACACACTAAATGTGAAACTTGCCACTGCAAAAACAGATTTCTAAGAAAGTAGAAATGTGTGTGTGTGTGTGTGTGTGTGTGTGTGTGTGTGTGTGTGTGTGTGTGTGTGTGTGTGTGTGTGTGTGTGTGTGTGTGTGTGTGTGTGTGTGTGTGTGTGTGTGTGTGTGTGTGTGTGTGTGTGTGTGTGTGTGTGTGTGTGAAATGTTCCATCCAGTGAATGGGGAGATTACAGCATGAAAAGCAATGGAGTTGCAAAAGTCCGCGAAAAATCGTCGAACAGGTGGTACTCAGTAATCGAAAGGTTGCAGGTTTGATCCCGACTCCGGACAGAGGTTGCTGCTTTTGTGTCCTCGGGCAAGACACTTAACCGCCCTTGCCTGCTAGTGGTGGTCTGAGGGACCGGTGGCGGAGGGACTCTGTCAGTGCGCCCAGGGCAGCTGTGGCTACATTGTAGCTCATCACCACCATTGTGTGAATGATAGCGTAAAGAGCTTTGGAGTGCTCTGACTCTGAAAAGCGCAAAACAACTTTGGTTCATTAACATGATTCAGCAGTAGTGTGTAGAAAGGGTCATGCTGTGAACGCAGGGCCCACCTGTGCATCCTTACACCCAGCCTTCCCCGTTTGGGTCTGACCTAAGTCTGCTATCTGAAGTCCTCGATCAGATCGGTGTCTGTTCTAGTGTCAAGGGTTTGTCTATGCAGATATGCTGTTACTACATCGTGAGTAGTAGAATAAAACACACAGTTGCTTGTGGTTCACAGACTAACTGCTAAGTGACTTTCTACATCAGGTGTCAGAGTCTCAGTACAAATGAAAGATAAAAGTTATGTGGTTGGAGTCTTGTTTCATCAGAGATTAGGGACTCCAGATAGTGTGACTAGTTGTTTGTCCCTGTGTGGGGGACTGACTGCCTGTCCTGGGTGTCCCCGCTGCTCTCCGGGCTGAACCTGAAATGTAAGAAAGAGTGAGCTGAAGGAGCTTTTCTGTACTCTGTTTGCAGGAAAAGAGATGAAGACACAAGCGATGATCTCCCACAGCCCATCATTCCACCATAGGCACCAAGACCCTGGCTCATCCTCCATCCATCTCCGCGGGTGCCATGACCGTTGCTCTTCATCGCCCTGAAAACTGGAGATTGGAGATAAAGCTGATGGTTTTCAGAATTCACCTAGCAACAGGACATGTGTCCTGATTGTTGCTAGAGCTGTTTGTGTTAAAGTTGACTGATTATTTTAGTTTTGTAAAGATGCCTGCCGTTCTTCAGGATAAAGGCACAGAGACAGTTATTAATGAGGGTTTATGTCATCGTGTTGAATGTTTTGGGAAAGTTTCCTTCTTAAGCCAGCATTAACTCTGGCTGTGAAGCAACATGAACTATGAAGCCCAATGTGTGGTTGCTCTTTGGAAGGGATGGATGGAAAACCAAATAGGCTGGAAGCTTTCCTGGCCTCCTTGTAGTGAATGTCAGACTTTTCTACACGTCCTCCGGTGTCTCCAACTGGCTTCATTTGATGGTGCCCTTTTCTTGGTCTCCTGCTTTTGTCCACCTGGAGACGTTTTACTGCAGTATTGAGACACAACTTTTGTACGCTCCTCAAATGAGCTAAATGTCTGTGAGCTGATTTGTACTCTTGTTTTGTAAATGGACATTAAAACCCACTCGCTGATCTGTCTTGGTTTTCTTTCTGGCCCGTTTAGCATCGTGCTTTGGGGGGGATTCTTAAGCATGAGATGTTGGAGGTGTGGTGTGAGAGCATGTGAAGCCCTACATCCTGCCCTGCTGTTCTCTGTACCATGGTGACACCTGGATCACATGAGACGTAGTAGCACCGTGGAGTGAAGGGAGCTTCTAATGGGCGCCCTTGTTACCCTACGCTCCCGGTCCCATCAGCTGCCAAGGGCCGCATAGCACAACGAAGGTTTGCGCCGTGCAGCCATCGTTTCGGCATGGGCTCTAATTTTTTCATGAGCCGCATCAATTCTGGCAGGAATTTAAACCAAAGCAGGAGAGGCAGGCAGGTAAATTTAACAAAATAAAGAAAATTTTTAAATTAAACACCGGGATTGATAAAAGTGATTTTTGTGTGTCTAAACAGAATGAAAACTCACACACACACACACACACACACACACACACACACACACACACACACACACACACACCAGCAGAGAAACACAGCATTTCCATAAATTTAAATGCAGTTTTTACATCAAAAGATAAATGTAATAAATGTGAATACAAACAAATACGTTTAATTTAAAGGTCCTTCTCAAAAAATTAGCTTATTGTGATAAAGTTCATTATTGTCTGTAATGTACTGATAAACATTAGACTTTCATATATATTAGATTCATTACACAAACCTGAAGTAGGTCAAGCCTTTTATTGTTTCTAATATTGATGATTGTGGCATACAGCTCATGAAAACACCAAATTCCTATCTCAAAAAATTAGCATATTTCATCCGACCAATAAAAGAAAAGTGTTTTTAATACAAAAAAAAAGTCAACCTTCAGATAATTATGTTCAGTTATGCACTCAATACTTGGTCGGGAATCCTTTTGCAGAAATGACTGCTTCAATGCGGTGTGGCATGGAGGCAATCAGCCTGTGACACTGCTGAGGTGTTATGGAGGCCCAGGATGCTTCGATAGCGGCCTTAAGCTCATCCAGAGTGTTGGGTCTTTCTCTTCACAATGTCCCACAGATTCTCTACGGGGTTCAGGTCAGGAGAGTTGGCAGGCCAATTGAGCACATTAATACCATGGTCAGTAAACCATTTACCATTGGTTTTGGCACTGTGAGCAGGTGCCAGGTCGTGCTGAAAAATGAAATCCTCATCTCCATAAAGCTTTTCAGCAGATGGAAGCATGAAGTGCTCCAAAATCTCCTGATAGCTAGCAGCATTGACCCTGCCCTTGATAAAACACAGTGGACCAACACCAGCAGCTGACGTGGCACCCCAGACCATCACTGACTGTGGGTACTTGACACTGGACTTCAGGCATTTTGGCATTTCCCTCTGCCCAGTCTTCCTCCAGACTCTGGGACCTTGATTTTCGAATGACATGCAAAATTTGCTTTCATCCGGGAAAAAAAAAACGTTGGACCACTGAGCAACAGTCCAGTGCTGCCTCTGTAGCCCAGGTCAGGCGCTTCTGCCGTTGTTTCTGGTTCAAAAGTGGCTTGACCTGGGGAATGTGGCACCTGTAGCCCATTTCCTGCACACGCCTGTACACGGTGGCTCTGGATGTTTCTACTCTAGACTCAGTACTGCTTCCGCAGGTCCCCCAAGGTCAGGAATCAGTCCTTCTCCACAATCTTCCTCAGGGTCCAGTCTCCTCTTCTCGTTGTGCAGTGTTTTCTGCCACACTTTTTCCTTCCCACAGACTTCCCACTGAGGTGCCTTGATACAGCACTCTGGGAACAGCCTATTTGTTCAGAAATTTCTTTCTGTGTCTTAACCTCTTGCTTGAGGGTGTCAATGATGGCCTTCTGGACAGCAGTCAGGTCAGCAGTCTTACCCATGTTTGCGGTTTTGAGTAATGACCAGGCTGTGAGGTTTTAAAAGCCACTTCTGGGTTAGGCCATGCCCACTCCGCGTACAGATACAGATAATTTAGATGGTTGAACAGATACAGATTAGGGCTGGGCGATATGAGAAAAATCTAATATCCCAAAAATTTTTTGCAATATCCTGATACTTACAGGGTCCCTGAAGTGCAAATCACAGCAGCAAATCACTAAACACAACTACAAACTGAGAAGCACACAAACAAATAAGGATCAAACAAACAAATTAAGAATAACATGAAAAAAAATTTGAAAAACACAATAATATTAAGAATAACACAAACAAATTAAGGATAACATGAAAAAAAATTGAAAAACACAAAAATATTAAGAATAACATAAACAAATTAAGAAAAACACACGCAAATTAAGAAAAACACAAAGAAATTAAGAAAAACACAAACAAATTAAGAACAACACATACAAATTAAGAATAACACAAACAAATGAAGAAAAACAAAGGAATTAAGAAAAACACAAAGTAAGCAAAGCACAAAGAAATTAAGAAAACAAAGAAATTAAGAAAAACACAAAAAAGTTAGGAAAAACACAAAGAAATTAAGAAAAACACAAACAAATTAACAATAACACATCCAAATTAAGAGTAACACAAAGAAATTAAGAATAACACAAAGAAATTAAGAAAAACACAAACAAATTAAGAACAACACATATGAATTAAGAATAACACAAACAAATTAAGAACAACACAAATTAAGAAAAACACAAACAAATTAGGAATAACAACAAGGGGCAGCAGTAGCGCAACAGGTTGAGTGGGTTGTCTAGTAATCGGAAGGTTGCAGGTTCGATCCCGTCTCCGGACAGAGAATTCTGCTGTTGTGTCCTTGGGCAAGACACTTAACCCACCTTGCCTGCTGGTGGTGGTCGGAGGGACCGGTGGTGCCTGTGCACGGCAGCCTCGCCTCTGTCAGTGTGCCCCACGGCAGCTGTGGCTACATCGTAGCTCATCACCATCAGTGTGTGAATGGATGAATGATACACTGTAGTGTAAAGTGCTTTGGAGTCCTTACTCTGAGAGGCGCTATACAAGTGCGGGTCATTTATCATTTATCATTAAGTACCATATTTTCCGGACTATAAATTGCACTTTTTTTCATAGTCTGGCTGGTCCTGCGACTGATATACCAAAGTGACTTATATGCCAAATTATGAATACCCCACTGCTGCCGGCCGGCTCCGGCCCAGCAATGAGCTCCTGTGCCCGCTGGGAGGGTTTGAAATAGGGATGAGCGAGTACACCACTATCTGTATCTGTATCTGTTCAACCAACTAAATAATCTGTATTTGTATCTGTACTCGGAATGGGCATGGTATAACCCGGAAGTGGGCGTAGTTTAACTGGAAGTGGGTGTGGTTTACATCAATATATTTGTTACAAGTCATCCTCCCAAACTAGCTGACTCTTTAATAAACACTACGTCTCAGGGTTGACTTGTAATTCTATTTGTGCATGAGCGTGAATCCAGTCTGAGCTTTACACTACTGTGAGCTAATCAGCGATCATCTTTACCTAGATTTAGACTCCGGCAAACACATTTTAGCAGCACAAAGGAAGACTCTTGTTATAACTTCACCACAACTCAGTCACCTGCAGCTTATGCTATGCCCAGGTTAAAGACTTTAAGTTTAAGTGTTAACCTCTTGGAGTGGGAATAAAAGTAACCAGCACCTCACCTTCAGCTGTTACACGACACGATTGGAGACCCCAGGCTGGAAATTCCGTTTAAAGCCCCTTATATGAAGGAGCAAATATTTTATTTTATATAATGAAGTAAAAATATTCCAGATTTCCCGACGCAGCGGGTCTGATCACTCAACCGTTACAGTTGTCCTCCGAACTCTTCCCAAACACCCAAAAAGCCTCGTGCCCACTCAGCCCTCACACTTTTATTCTCCCCAACTCTCTCCTTCTGGCCCCCCTTCCGTCTCCATGGCAACCCCTGCCTCGGAAGCATTCTTCGGCCTTCAGTCTCCTCCCAGCTCCCTCCAGTATCAGCCAGATGGGCGGAGGTCTTCCCTCTTCCTTCTTCCGCTCAGATCAAAGGAAGTCAAACATAAACAATCTCCATACATGTGTCCCTGAAGTTCTTATCACATCCTGGGCTACACCATAAAAAGTCGTTACAAGGTTAAAACTACAACATAAATTTGTCATGGATAGCAGATTAGTTGAAACACACACATCATTTATGGCAGCATGAGATCAGGAGTCAAATCACCACCCACAGACCTCTTGCTGAACCCTGAAGCCTGGTTTCACTAACATACAGATTTGAGATATAATCCAGAACTGCTATTATATAATAAGACAGGTCTGGAGGAATCGAAAATCTTTATTCAACAATATTATTTTAAGTCTGAAATTGATATGGAATGATCAGAAGTTGATATGTGTATTGTTCATTTTAGGGATGAGCCGGATACTTGTTTCAGACGAGTATCCGGTACGGATAAAGCATTTTTGACGAAAACGAGCATGAAACGAGTAAACCTCGTAAATATCTGTAATCGTGCTGAAGGAAAATCCTCATTGGGTAACTGACTGTCTTCACGCTCTGTGATTGGCCAGTCACATAGAGCGCCCGCCCCTCCCTACACACAAAACTCTCTAGCCGGCCGGGAGCTCAGTTCGTCCGGCTCATCCACGCACACACACGGACAGTAACGGATCTCGCTGTGATTGCTTCACTGTTGCTCACGTTTTTTCAGTTTTCCCTGTTTTCTTCAGCTGCCTCTCTTTTGGTTGAATGTTTAAAGTTACTTTTTTCGTAACTTACATGGTGCATTTGACAAGACAGAGCTGACGTGCTGCATCAGTCACTCACCCCTTACGAAAAAGAAGTATACTTTAAGCATCTAATTTCAAGTATACTTAAGTGTACAGAAGTTTATTTATATACTTGTTCTTAAAGTTTACTTAGAAGTATACTCCTTGGGACTAAATTGGGCCACTAAAAGTATACTTGAAGTATACTACAAGTATACTTCAAAGTATGTAGTATACTTCAAAGTAATAATTTAAGTTTATTTGTAGTGTACTTCTGATATAATTGAGTATACTTTTCTCTT